TTTGTTTACATGGCCTTTTGTGTTGGTTCCCCTTTGAAACATGGCCTTTTCCACTACTTTGAAACAATGACTTTTTGCGCAGTTTATTTACATGGCCTTTTGCGTTGCTTGGTTCCCCTTTGATACACGGCTTTTGCTCTGGTACACCCATGTATCTTATACTACTAATCGGTACTAAGTACATCCAGTTGGTCGTTACCATGAGCTTGGAGAGTTTGTGGGTTGACAACGCATGCTCAGATTCTCAATTAATTTGTGACAGAGCGAGCTCTGAAATTGGTGCTGTAGATGCGCTGAGCAAGTTTTCCATCATATATTTTGGCATGCTTTTGTCTACTTAAGCTTGTTTTTACAAATGCATGAAACTCGTCAACACTTTGTTACGGCACTCGTAATATCCGTGACAACGTTAAAATGTTTTTTATTTTCTCTACAACTTTATACCTGCATATTGCATGTCATATCAAGCTTTCCTTTGATTTGACGGGAAATGGTTTTATTCACTCCTACATCTTCTGCCTTTATAATTAGTCGATCTGTATTTCTAAACTAATATTTACAAATGCCTCAAGAGAATCTTTTTATTTTATTGGCTCTTCTACAAATACAATACCATGTCCGACTATTTGATTGCACGAATTTTGTAATTTGATCACTTTTTTTGACACATGTGTTTACCATGGGAAAGATGGATTGCTTAAATGTACGTAGTTGTTTAGACTAGTTGGATCCATAAATATCCTGTAATGTATACTCTTGTGAAACACCAATGAGCATACGTAGTGTGTCTTCTTTAACCTCTATTCTTGTTCTCCACTTCATCATCTATCCATCTTTGTTCTTTTTTAGTTCTCAGCTCAACGCAACCCTTGTCTGAAGTTCCTAAAGCCTTGATCTACCCAAGAAAGATCTCTGGTGGTAACATGTTAGGTATGGCTAATGGTTGGTCATCGTCATTGAGCCTTGTGACACTAGTTCAGTAGACGTTAATTGTCCTGAAGACGTTGAGGAGGTTGCTAGTAAAGCGTCGCCTAAACCAGAAGTTAGTTTTCATGGTATGCTAAACGATTACGCAAACGTTGTTAGGAAGAAGTTCACATCAAATGGTTATGGTCTCGTTCCATCGTCTTCTGAGAAGGTTTCATGTTCATCCTGTATATTTCACCAATGTTACAAATACTTAGTTTTTTATTTTTGAAATTGTCGTTTTATGATTATTATTTTAGAGTATAGACATTGAAGAATCTTGTGGTAGTACAGGTATTTTCAACATTTTTTTGTTTAAAAATTCTCTAGTTTCAATTCTTCGAAATTTCTCATCTTAATTATCACCTTTACTTTAGAATCCTTGCGATACGAGAAATCGTCGGGATTTGAGGTACTTTATACGATATATTGAATTTAAGTTTTATAGCGTTAATAACTCTCATCTTTCCGTCGTAACTTTGCTATAATTCTATTGATAAATTATGTTTTTATATATAACAGAATATTGATGATCCTACTTCACCTGAAGGTGTTCAGCAAGAACGACGTATGAAGTTACTGTCGTTAATTAACAATATAGCCCTTGATAAAGGGTTGGATGGTCAAAATTATAAATGTCATGGTTGTTCCAGACCAATTGGAATGAGTATGATCAATGAATTCTTGACTTGTTATTTCCTAATAACTCAATTATATTTATTTTCAAATTTCTTAGCTTAATAAATGTTATCCTTGTAGAAACTATTATAACAAAGTACATAATCCTTTTTTCCGTGAAGCCCATGGATGCGTTCGTTCATGATGAAAGAGTCATATTGTATAAGGAGGCTCTCGTTCATCACGAGAGAGTTATGAGAAAGTTACGTTGTAAAAGGTAATAAGTAAAAAACGTATAAACATGCTTGGTGTTTGTTTAAGTTTTAGTTCAAAAAGGCAGAAAATGTTTGAACCTTTGAAGTATCCTTGGACGTTCTAGTTTTTTTATGAGAAGAATTCTTGTAAAGAAAAAGATAAATTTTGAAAACCAAGGAATCCCGTTTTCGGTCCATGCCTCCAGATACCCGAGATAGTTGAGCACTAGAGCGTCGCATGTTAACTAAGGGAACCACATAATCCTTGTTTGTTTTCCATGAAACATATGGATGGTTTGCTCGTGATACATGAGAAACAGTAAATGGGAGAGTTAAATCAGAAAGATATAAACCGATAAAATTGGTATAAAACTTGTTTAAGGTTGTCTTTAATTATAAGTGTCAGAAAAAGACAGGGTCATAAGAGTTAATTGAAACATTGCTTGGTTTGTTTTATGAGAAGAAAACAAAAAGATAAAATTCGAAAGCAAAAAACCCCGTTTTCGGTCCATGCTTCCCGATACCTTCTTAAGCGCAAGGCACTAAAACGCCGTATGTTAACGTTTCGGTAGGAGATTTCGGCCCCTCCGCTATCCTACTTGGGAGATGCCAATAGCAAGCTTCCGCCCATCAGACCCTGAGATCACCTGCGATAGGCTTTGCTCAGGGTACGCAGGAGAGTGCTTTCGCCACCGAAGTGAGGGCCCCTAAGCCACTGCATACTATATCGCACCCAGCTTCCACTGCTACTTGACATCTACTATATGAAGTTTTAGCTTTATATATATATATACCAAAATTTAAAGGCGTACGAAAGTTGTGGGATGATTGTTATCGTTACTGCGCACGCCCAGATGATTTCTTTGATAATTTGCGACTAAGTGAGATAATTGACACAAATGTAGTGCAAGTACATATAGTTGGTCGTTGTCATGACTATGAACAATTACTCGAGTGGATTGCGCATGCTGGAGCACATGCGCAAACGATTTCTCTATTAAGTTGTTACTAAGCATGCTATCTACTTCAAAATTGGTGCTAGTAGATGCAGTTTGTCGTTGCCATGACCACGAACTTGGGTAGCTGGTCAAGTTGACTGCGCATGCTCAATCAGACTGCGCACGAGCAGATGATTTGTACGGAAGAAGAATAGATTGGACATAAACAGATCACATTCCTACGAGAAATGCCAAAGTACAAAAAAGCTCGGCTTGGTATATTTTAAGCGTATTTTTCAATTTTTTTCTACATTAAAGTGGTATACAGACTAAGCCCAATTGCATTTGCAGCTCAACCACAAACCACAGTATAGAAACAAAAAGTAGTCCCACTCTATAGAAATTTTTTGGTGTAGTGCATATCTTATTAAGCATGTGAGTAACATAGTGGCATTCAGTAAATTGCAGTTTCTGACCAACAGTGGCGCTGAGGAGGCAAGCCGCAGCCAGCAATCTAATTACTGCCTGCTGCTTAGTGCTGTGCAACTTAGTGCTTTATACAGCACTAAGTTGTACAGTGAAGTGACGCACTGTTTGTTTGTATACTGTGGCTCAATTGTGGCATTATGATGTTATATACGCCTTTTTTTGTGGAGTGCTAACTTTGTTCGTTGTTAAAAACTTCCGTGAATACATCCATTCTTTCCGATGCAAATTTTCGAGAAAACTGCATTTATATATTTGGAGAGTGTTGTTTAAGATAATGTTGTTTATGGTGGGGAAACATGTGACGTTCGTGCTCATGTTCTCCACAGTCAGGCTGCTTTCGTGTAGATTACGAATATGCAGACGGATCCTTTGGATCTTACGTTGGAGTTAAAACTTTTTAGGGGCTGATTACTGTTGTAGTTAAGACGAAATAACACGTGGTCGAGCAAATGGTTTCACCCGCCAATTTTTTTTCCGCAATAGAAATCCAGCCTAATGCGATCGAAAATTTAATTGCTTTAAATTTCAGGCTAACACAACAAGGGGCGAGACTAGAACGTTAATTGGGGGAAGGTAAATATTCATGTACTCAGCTCTGACCTGCTGATTTCTTTTCTTGGCGATTTTAATTTCAAAAAAATCAGCAGGGCAGAGCTGAATATATGAATATTCACCCCTCACTCCAATTAGCACAATTAACGTTCTACTTTCGGTCCTGAACACAACGACCGTATTTTGATGTCAATTATGGCTGTCTTAACCTGACTTTACCGACATTTTTTCTTTCTTTAGAAATATAATTTTTTCTGTTATTTTTACGTAATAAATATGATGAAAATTCGACACTTTCGTATGATAGTGTTAAAAATTTATGTTTTTTGGGTTTGAAGTTTTTTCTTGCATTTATAAAGATGCATTGATTAAGAAATAAAAGATGTTTACTGTGTTTCTAAGGGCAGTAATGCATGCAAACTGAGGAGACCTTTACGAGAACTCGAGAGCTGATCAGTGCAAGCCCGAGACTTTCCCTCTAACAAGTATTCATGATTGATTTGAGAATTCTCTTTGATTTATTGAATTGACTCAGTTCAGATCTATTTGCACAGGCTAATGTAAACTCAGCTATAGACCACTAAAGGTAAAAGATAATCGCATTGAAACAGTATTGAAATTCGAGGCGAGGAACAAAAAAATCAAAAATAAGAATTCTGAGTCGCATAATAAATGAATGAAGATGCAAAACAATGTCACAAGTATATAGAAAATTGGTAGATTTTGTTGATTTTGAATTACGTTGATTTTGAAATGGTGCATTAAACTACATGTTCCAGCAACGAAGATTGCCGTTTTAACGTCAAAATATTTTTCAAAATCCTCCACAAACTTACGCACTGTCTACTTCGTCGCAGAGAAAAGCATCTTCGATTAATTCGGGAAAGAAACCATCTCCAAGGCCTAAAACAATATTTCCTCAGAATAATTATATAAAAACAAGACATGTTTCCTTAAATATAGTTTAAAACATAGTTCGTTAAAAAAACAAAAGCAGCTATAGCTACAGACAACGCAAAAACACAACGCACAACGTACCTCTTCTTATTTCTACATCAAGTACATGTGGACTTGGAGCAGTATGGTCGACCGAGTTCGTTCTTCTATACAATATTTGCAATAAAACGCGTATTTTGCCATGTTTAGCTATGGATTTATATGTAATTTACAAAAATATGCTTTGTTTCGCAGAAGTACCTTCAAGAAAACGAAAATGCCCGCAGTCCAAAGTCTCAACTCGGCGATATGAGTCTAAATTCATCTGATGCACACATCAACTTCATTCAACGATTATTGACCGAGTGCAAAGCGAGGGTGAGTTGAAAACGTTCATTACATACAACATGCTTTTAACAAAACTGTTTTCAACTCGATGTAACGATTATTACGCTTCTTGTTTGTACAGACGAAAAGAATGCTGGTAATGAAGATGGGCCAGGAAGCGAGGGACCTGGGTCATAATGACGCGAATGGAGTTGAAGAAAACAGTCTGATTGCCGGTTTGTGTGACCTCCTGGACAGAATCTGGGGTCATGGGCCTTACGATTTGAAGGTATCTTTCAGTGTCTTTTCACTTACGACCGATTTTTTGGCGGGAATAGACAAATTTGTAAAGACTCGAGAACACGAAGTAGCTAAATGCAACGCATATTAACGACTAAAGCTTGTTTTCAAACTCTTGAACATCGTCTGTGGATTATTGAAACTTTAGAATTGCAAATGATTGTGTTTGACTTAATATCGTAGGACGAACCTTAACGAGAGAGAGAGAGCGGCAGGGGATCACTTTTTTAAAGGTCATGGTTTTTTATTAATATAGTAGGAGAACAAAAAAGTATATAAAGAACTAAATGACCTTCTAGAGCATTGAGTAGCTATGCGGTCTTAAAAAATATGTTTTAATATAATCAACTGTTATTGATTTGTGTGAAATATGGCACTTGTTGAATCTTTTTCTTGGCTGTTGCGGAGGCCTAAGTTCTACAACATATAAAACATACTGGTGATTAGATAGTCGTTGTCATGACGTAACACTGCGTGCTGGATGGAATGACGTAATTCATCCAACACTATTTCTAATACATTTAGAATTACCAAAAATTGCTGAAGAACTTCACTTTTAATTTCTGTTAAAAAATGCGTAAACATGGTTTTCTTTCGTAATCATTCAATGTTGTTTCCCATAGGCTAAATCTCCATTATGGCTCCATATAATGTCCTACTACAACAGTTGGGATGGAGATGAGATGATTATGAATGAAGGCAGTTCCAACTCACCCTGTAAGTTTTTACTCACCTGATTACATATTGACTTGAACGCCACAGTAATAAACTAAAGGCTGCGGTTTATTTGGCTACAAATATTCGCTTTTTAACATAGTTAATTTCATGTGAGAAGCAATTTTGTCTGTTAGTAGAATGGGGTACTTGTGCACACGAATTGTTTTTACATTTTTCACTTGCACAAAAGCTCAACGAATACATATGGGAGACGAATATATGTGTAAGAGTGGTAATGGTGCGAAAGGTGCTTTTCTCCCACAAACTGTTGATGAAAACTGCCATCTTTTTTTCTAAAGTCAATTATGCAATGCGATGTCTTGTCGAGGAATTTGCATGATAAACAAGATTCACCACCTCGAGAGCAAAGCAAATTAAAACAATACAAACCGTCAAGTGATTAAGTCGTTTTAAATGTTACATTTGATGAACCAATTGTTACGTCATGATTACGTCATGTATACGTTCTGAAGGTCGAGTGAGACAGTAAGTGCTTTAAATAATATCTAAGTTTCTCAATTTTTTAAACTTATAGATTTCCTTGTGGTCGATGGCTATCAAAAAGCAATGACGATGGTAGTACGTAGAGGTTGTTGGTTGGCGAGCTTCAAAGAATACACAACAATAACCATAATGAGGGTATGTTTCTGTAGATAGATTTTTTGTTTATTGTGCTCTGTTTATCTTTCATATAACATCCTGTTCGGTCTATCTTACATACATTGTGTTCTGTCTATCTTACATACATCGTGTTCTGTCTATCTTACATATATTGTGTTCTGTCTATCCTTACATTGTGTTCTGTCTATTTACATCATCGTGTTCTGTCTATCTTACATACATCGTGTTCTGTCTATCTTCCACATACATCGTGTTCTGTCTATCTTACATACATCGTGTTCTGTCTATCTGTCCACATGCATCGTGTTCTGTCTGTACATACATCGTGTTCTGTCTGTCTTATATACATCGTGTTCTGTATATTTACATACATGCCGTGTTCTCTTGTCTTACATACATCGTGTTCTGCCTATCTTACATACATCGTGTTCTGTCTATCTTACATACATCGTGTTCTGTCTATCTTACATGCATCTTGCAGTTGTGTTCTATCTATTCCATCATTATTCTATCTATCCATCCATCTATTTCCATATCATTCTATCTATCCTTCCATCCGTATTCTATCTTCCATCATTGTTCCATCTATGTATACATCGTGTTCATCTGTCACCATCATTATTCTATATATTTTCCATCATGTTCTGTCTATCTTCCATTCCATCGTGTTCACCTATCTTACATACATCGTGTTCTGTCTATCTTACATACATCGTGTTCTGTCTATCTTACATACATCAGTGTTCTGTCTATCTTTATACATCGTGTTCTGTCTATCTTACAGCATCGTGTTCTGTCTATTATTACATTACATCGTGTTCTGTCTCTTATATACATCATTGTTCTGTCTATTTTACATACATTGTGTTCTGTCTATCTTACATACATCGTGTTCTGTCTATCTTACATTGCATCGTGTTCTGTCTATTGCATGCATCGTTCTATCTATCACCCTTCATTCTATCTTCATTCTATCCTTCCCCTTCCATCTATCCTTCCTTCCTTCCATCATTTCTGTCTATCTTTGTCCATTATATTTCCATTGTCCTATCCTTCCACATTCTGTCTATCTTCCATCATTCCATTCTGTCTATTTACTTCATCATTCCTGTCCCATCATTCTGTCTATCCATCCATCATTCTGTCCTATCCATACATCATTGTTCTGTCTGTCTTCCACATACATCATGTTCTATTCCATATTTTACATACATCGTGTTCTGTCTATCTTACATACATCGTGTTTCTGTCTCCTTATACATACATTGTAATTTCTGTCTATCTTACATACATCGTGTTCTGTCTGTCTTACATACATCATGATTTCTGTTTCCATGTTCCTGTCTATCTTACATACATCATGTTCTGTCTCTATCTTCCATTCTGTCTATCTTCCATTATTCTACCCTTCATTCCATCTATCACATTCTATCATTTCTATCTTCCATCATTCTGTCTATCACCATACATTCATTCTGTCTATTTATCTTATTCCATACATCGTGTTCTGTCTATCTTACATCGTGTTCTGTCTATTTACATACATCGTGTTCTGTCTATCTTACATACATCGTGTTCTGTCTATTTTACATACATCGTGTTCTGTCTATCTTTATACATCGTGTTCTGTCTGTCTTACATACATCGTGTTCTGTCTATCTTACATACATCGTGTTCTGTCTGTACATACATCGTGTTCTGCCTATCTTACATACATCGTGTTCTGTGTAACTTAGATATGTCGTATTCAACATCGAATTCTCCGCAAAGACGATCTCCGGTCATGACGAAAAAAAATGCAGAAAGTAAGTGGGCAGTAGATGTCCACGTTATTTTGATCATATAATCAGTTGGCATTTCCCAATCTACGTACAAAAGTTATATGGTCTAGGTTACCAATCTACATGAGTTATATGGTCTAGGTTGACAACTTACAGGAGTTATATGGTCTAGGTTACCAACCTACAGGAGTTATATGGTCTAGGTTGACAACTTACAGGAGTTTATAGTCTAGGTTGACAACTTACAAGAGTTATATGGTCTAGATTTTACATTTTAAAGTCTCACTGAATTTTCTAGAGAATAAAATTTCTGTGGTTCAAGAAAACCTTGCAAATGCTGTCAATAAGATCGTGAAATACTTTTGCACAGAGGAATCGGAAGAGGTTGTTGATTTTATTTAAAAATGTCCGTCGCATAGTATAGCGAAACACTATTTTTGTGTTATCAGTACTTCCTTGTCGACATTATGTAGTATGTAGTATAATAAATGTATTAATCAGGAAACATCTACAAGATGCGATTTTTGATGTGATCATAACAATAATATACAGTCGTTATATCGCCTTGAAATTCTCTGCTTTCGTTCGGATTCTTCCTTATCCCCTTTATGATGGTGATTACATTTTCTTGCTAGAGAGGATATTTAACGTATTTATTATGTGGTGAAAATGGACTTTGTGACTCATTGGAGTAGATATGAACATCAACATTTACTATCGATGCTCAAAGAAAGAAGATGTGTTCCCAACAAACATAACATTGTCGCGTATTTATGTTCTATTTTCCTCATTGTGGGAGGTAACCTTGTTTGTCTCCTACGCTGTTGACTGCTTTGTTTTTAGGTGTTTCATTACGGTTTAAAGTCCTCACGTATTTTTCAGAAGAACTTTTTCATTTGGGATTTTATTGGTATGAAATAAATTTGCAATTATTTGTTGCGTTGCTACTGTATTGTGCGCTTTTCTGAATGTCTTTAAATCTCATTCTTCCCAGAAAAAGTAAACATCTATCTAAAATCGGACGAAGGGACATATATTCTAACCGAGCAGCGTCCAGCAAAGTTGTCGTTTTGCTCCATCGTACAGAAGATTAATGATGCCTCACAAACTGTAGGCAAAGATGAAAAGGTGGGAATTCTCTCCAGATAGATCATAATAACTTTTTCCCACATATTTATAATCATCACTGAGATTTCCTCTTCTGTGAAGAATTCACGTTAAAGTTTATTTTTTTTCTAGTTTCAAACGTTCATTTGTCTTGGTGTAAGGTATTATTTTATTTCTCATTTTAGTGTCATTTTTATAACCATCATTGTCGTCATTATTTTCCATATCATCATCTTTGTCGTCATCAACATCGTCATCGTCATCAACGTCATCATCATATCATTGTCATCATCATCGTCATCAACGTCAACATTATCGTCATCATCATCATCATCTTTCGTATTGATGGCGCTATTTGTCATATAGGACAGTCAACAATCCTTATTGATAACATCAACTGTCATCTTTGTCATAACCATCATTACATAGCCTCCATGGATCTTAACCTACCATGGTCCATGGATTGTATTTATCTTCCAAATGAACGACATTGACAAGGATTTTCTGTTTTTCTTTTTAGGGATCATTCACTGGAAAAGTGGTTTCCTTTGATCTCTATTTGTCCTGTCACAACCAATATGTACGAACAGAATTAGTGAACGTACTTGGGTCGCTGGCTGAATACAATATAGTTCTAGAGGCGTCTCTCTTGAAAGGATTATCCTGATAATATTATGTCCTTGGCAAGTTGTGTACCATTTTGCCACACGGAGTGAAAAGTATCCATCATTGGTGGCTGTGTTGGTCAAAACAAGAAAAGAATTTGCAAGCGTTCCTTTGGGGTAGTAACCATGAAGTTAATTATGTCGAACACTGCGAAGACACTCGAAAAATCGGAAACAGAAGAAACACACTTTATGCATCGTTTATGTTATACAGTGGTAGGAAATTGTTATGCATTAATGGGGTTTTTTATTACATAGTATTGATGAAATGAGAGCTTTAGATGGTTTATTGCTTATGAATTAAACGAAGATAGTGTAGAGAGTGGTAAATTTGTGGCTGAGTTGCTCCTAACACAAAGTTTATAACAAAACCGAAACTTTCAGCGACAAATCAAGTGCCTTAAAAAATTACAATCTGTTCTTCTCAGCTACATTTTTCCCTGTATTTTTGCGTCCATTAAACTAAAATTAAACAGAGATTGAATTATGTGAAAATCGTTTGTAATGATTAATTATGTTGTTATAATTCTTTAGTTTTCTCTTTATAGCTTGTTGGATTGAAATGTATGGATTTTTATAGATTATTTGTAAAATAAGAAAGATTAATATATTTGAAAATTTCAGTTTAATCTATTTTAGCCTCGAGTGTAATGGACTACATTAATGTGAAGTCTTATTCTATTCAAGTATAGTCCTTTGAATTCCATATATATATTACACGATTACACTGTCTTTGCGTGAGACAAACAAGGTTACCTCCACAATGAGGAAAATAGAACATAAATACGCGACAATGTTATGTTTGTTGGGAACACATCTTCTTTCTTTGAGCATCGATAGTAAATGTTGATGTTCATATCTGCTCCAATGAGTCACAAAGTCCATTTTCACCACATAATAAATACGTTAAATATCCTCTCTAGCAAGAAAATGTAATCACCATCATAAAGGGGATAAGGAAGAATCCGAACGAAAGCAGAGAATTTCAAGGCGATATAGCGACTGTATTGTTATGATCACATCAAAATCGCATCTTTAGATGTTTCCTAATTAATACATTTATTATACTACATACTACATAATGTCGACAAGGAAGTACTGATAACACAAAAATAGTGTTTCGCTATACTATGCGACGGACATTTTAAAATAAAATCAACAACCTCTTCCGATTCCTCTGTGCAAAAGTATTTCACGATCTTATTGACAGCATTTGCAAGGTTTTCTTGAACCACAGAAATTTTATTCTCTAGAAAATTCAGTGAGACTTTAAAATGTAAAATCTAGACCATATAACTCTTGTAAGTTGTCAACCTAGACTATAAAACTCCTGTAAGTTGTCAACCTAGACCATATAACTCCTGTAGGTTGGTAACCTAGACCATATAACTCCTGTAAGTTGTCAACCTAGACCATATAACTCCTGTAGATTGGTAACCTAGACCATATAACTTTTGTACGTAGATTGGGAAATGCCAACTGATTATATGATCAAAATAACGTGGACATCTACTGCCCCTTACTTTCTGCATTTTTTCGTCATGACCGGAGATCGTCTTTGCGGAGAATTCGATGTTGAATACGACATATCTAAGTTACACAGAACACGATGTATGTAAAATAGACAGAACGCGATGTATGTAAGACAGACAAAACACGATGTATGTAAGATAGACAGAACACGATGTATGTAAGTGAGACAGAACACGATGTATGTAAGACAGACAGAACACGATGTATGTAAAATATACAGAACACGATGTATGTAAGACAGACAGAACACGATGTATGTACAATAGACAGAACACGATGCATGTAAGATAGACAGAACACGATGTATGTAAGATAGACAGAACACGATGTATGTAAAATAGACAGAACACGATGCATGTAAGATAGACAGAACACGATGTATGTAAATAGACAGAACACAATGTACGTAAGATAGACAGAACACGATGTATGTAAGATAGACAGAACACGATGTATGTAAGGTAGACAGAACACGATGTATGTAAGATACACGACGTATGTAAGATAGACAGAACACGATGTATGTAAGATAGAGACAGAACACGATGTATGTAAGATAGACAGAACACGATGTATGTAAAATATACAGAACACGATGTATGTAAGACAGACAGAACACGATGTATGTAAGATAGACAGAACACGATGTATGTAAGATAGACAGAACACGATGTATGTAAGATAGACAGAACACGATGTATGTAAGATAGACAGAACACGATGTATGTAAGATAGACAGAACACGATGTATGTAAGACAGACAGAACACGATGTATGTAAAATATACAGAACACGATGTATGTAAGACAGACAGAACACGATGTATGTACAATAGACAGAACACGATGTACGTACAATAGACAGAACACGATGCATGTAAGATAGACAGAACACGATGTATGTAAGATAGACAGAACACGATGTATGTAAGATAGACAGAACACGATGTATGTAAGATAGACAGAACACGATGTATGTAAGATAGACAGAACACGATGTATGTAAGATAGACAGAACACGATGTATGTAAAATATACAGAACACGATGTATGTAAGACAGACAGAACACGATGTATGTACAATAGACAGAACACGATGTATGTAAGATAGACAGAACACGATGTATGTAAGATAGACAGAACACGATGTATGTAAAATAGACAGAACACGATGCATGTAAGATAGACAGAACACGATGTATGTAAATAGACACAACACAATGTACGTAAGATAGACAGAACACGATGTATGTAAGATAGACAGAACACGATGTATGTAAGATAGACAGAACACGATGTATGTAAGATAGACAGAACACGATGTATGTAAGATAGACAGAACACGATGTATGTAAGATAGACAGAACACGATGTATGTAAAATATACAGAACACGATGTATGTAAGACAGACAGAACACGATGTATGTAATAGACAGAACACGATGTATGTAAGATAGACAGAACACGATGTATGTAAGATAGACAGAACACGATGTATGTAAAATAGACAGAACACGATGCATGTAAGATAGACAGAACACGATGTATGTAAATAGACAGAACACAATGTACGTAAGATAGACAGAACACGATGTATGTAAGATAGACAGAACACGATGTATGTAAGATAGACAGAACACGATGTATGTAAGATAGACAGAACACGATGTATGTAAGATAGACAGAACACGATGTATGTAAGATAGACAGAACACGATGTATGTAAGATAGACAGAACACGATGTATGTAAGACAGACAGAACACGGTGTATGTAAGATAGAGACAGAACACGATGTATGTAAGATAGACAGAACACGATGTATGTAAGATAGACAGAACACGATGTATGTAAGATAGACAGAACACGATGTATGTAAGATAGACAGAACACGATGTATGTAAGATAGACAGAACACGATGTATGTAAGATAGACAGAACACGATGTATGTAAGATAGAGACAGAACACGATGTATGTAAAATAGACAGAACACGATGTATGTAAGATAGACAGAACACGATGTATGTAAGATAGACAGAACACGATGTATGTAAGATAGACAGAACACGATGTATGTAAGATAGACAGAACACGATGTATGTAAGATAGACAGAACACGATGTATGTAAGATAGACAGAACACGATGTATGTAAGATAGACAGAACACGATGTATGTAAGATAGACAGAACACGATGTATGTAAGATAGGCAGAACACGATGTATGTAAGACAGACAGAACACGGTGTATGTAAGATAGAGACAGAACACGATGTATGTAAGATAGACAGAACACGATGTATGTAAAATATACAGAACACGATGTATGTAAGACAGACAGAACACGATGTATGTAAGAATAGACAGAACACGATGCATGTAAGATAGACAGAACACGATGTATGTAAGATAGACAGAACACGATGTATGTAAAATAGACAGAACACGATGTATGTAAGATAGACAGAACACGATGTATGTAAATAGACAGAACACAATGTATGTAAGATAGACAGAACACGATGTATGTAAGATAGACAGAACACGATGTATGTAAGATAGACAGAACACGATGTATGTAAGATAGACAGAACACGATGTATGTAAGATAGACAGAACACGATGTATGTAAGATAGACAGAACACGATGTATGTAAAATAGACAGAACACGATGTATGTAAGATAGACAGAACACGATGTATGTAAATAGACAGAACACGATGCATGTAAGATAGACAGAACACGATGTATGTAAGATAGACAGAACACGATGTATGTAAGATAGACAGAACACGATGTATGTAAGATAGACAGAACACGATGTATGTAAGATAGACAGAACACAATGTATGTAAAATATACAGAACACGATGTATGTAAGATAGACAGAACACGATGTATGTACAATAGACAGAACACGATGCATGTAAGATAGACAGAACACGATGTATGTAAGATAGACAGAACACGATGTATGTAAGATAGACAGAACACGATGTATGTAAGATAGACAGAACACGATGTATGTAAGATAGACAGAACACGATGTATGTAAGATAGACAGAACACGATGTATGTAAAATATACAGAACACGATGTATGTAAGATAGACAGAACACGATGTATGTAAATAGACAGAACACGATGCATGTAAGATAGACAGAACACGATGTATGTAAGATAGACAGAACACGATGTATGTAAAATAGACAGAACACGATGCATGTAAGATAGACAGAACACGATGTATGTAAATAGACAGAACACAATGTATGTAAGATAGACAGAACACGATGTATGTAAGATAGACAGAACACGATGTATGTAAGATAGACAGAACACGATGTATGTAAGATAGACAGAACACGATGTATGTAAGATAGACAGAACACGATGTATGTAAGATAGACAGAACACGATGTATGTAAGATAGACAGAACACGATGTATGTAAAATAGACAGAACACGATGCATGTAAGATAGACAGAACACGATGTATGTAAATAGACAGAACACAATGTACGTAAGATAGACAGAACACGATGTATGTAAGATAGACAGAACACGATGTATGTAAGATAGACAGAACACGATGTATGTAAGATAGACAGAACACGATGTATGTAAGATAGGCAGAACACGATGTATGTAAGATAGACAGAACACAATGTATGTAAAATATACAGAACACGATGTATATAAGACAGACAGAACACGATGTACGTACAATAGACAGAGCACGATGCATGTAAGATAGACAGAACACGATGTATGTAAGATAGACAGAACACGATGTATGTAAAATAGACAGAACACGATGCATGTAAGATAGACAGAACACGATGTATGTAAGATAGACAGAACACAATGTATGTAAGATAGACAGAACACGATGTATGTAAGATAGACAGAACACGATGTATGTAAGATAGACAGAACACGATGTATGTAAGATAGACAGAACACGATGTATGTAAGATAGACAGAACACGATGTATGTAAGATAGACAGAACACGATGTATGTAAGATAGACAGAACACGATGTATGTAAGATAGACAGAACACGATGTATGTAAGATAGACAGAACACGATGTATGTAAGATAGACAGAACACGATGTATGTAAGATAGACAGAACACGATGTATGTAAGATAGACAGAACACGATGTATGTAAGATAGACAGAACACGATGTATGTAAGATAGACAGAACACGATGTATGTAAGATAGACAGAACACGATGTATGTAAGATAGACAGAACACGATGTATGTAAGATAGACAGAACACGATGTATGTAAAATATACAGAACACGATGTATGTAAGATAGACAGAACACGATGTATGTAAGATAGACAGAACACGATGCATGTAAGATAGACAGAACACGATGTATGTAAGATAGACAGAACACGATGTATGTAAAATAGACAGAACACGATGTATGTAAGATAGACAGAACACGATGTATGTAAATAGACAGAACACGATGTATGTAAGATAGACAGAACACGATGTATGTAAGATAGACAGAACACGATGTATGTAAGATAGACAGAACACGATGTATGTAAGATAGACAGAACACGATGTATGTAAATAGACAGAACACGATGTATGTAAGATAGACAGAACACGATGTATGTAAGATAGACAGAACACGATGTATGTAAGATAGACAGAACACGATGTATGTAAGATAGACAGAACACGATGTATGTAAGATAGACAGAACACGATGTATGTAAGATAGACAGAACACGGTGTATGTAAGATAGAGACAGAACACGATGTATGTAAGATAGACAGAACACGATGTATGTAAAATAGACAGAACACGATGTATGTAAGATAGACAGAACACGATGTATGTAAGATAGACAGAACACGATATGTAAGATAGACAGAACACGATGTATGTAAGATAGACAGAACACGATGTATGTAAGATAGACAGAACACGATGCATGTAAGATAGACAGAACACGATGTATGTAAGATAGACAGAACACGATGTATGTAAGATAGACAGAACACGATGTATGTAAGATAGACAGAACACGATGTATGTAAGATAGACAGAACACGATGTATGTAAGATAGACAGAACACGATGTATGTAAGATAGACAGAACACGATGTATGTAAGATAGACAGAACACGATGTATGTAAGATAGACAGAACACGATGTATGTAAGATAGACAGAACACGATGTATGTACAATAGACAGAACACGATGTATGTAAGATAGACAGAACACGATGTATGTAAGATAGACAGAACACGATGTATGTAAGATAGACAGAACACGATGTATGTAAGATAGACAGAACACGATGTATGTAAGATAGACAGAACACGATGTATGTAAGATAGACAGAACACGATGTATGTAAGATAGACAGAACACGATGTATGTAAGATAGACAGAACACGATGTATGTAAGATAGACAGAACACGATGTATGTAAGATAGACAGAACACGATGTATGTAAGATAGACAGAACACGATGTATGTAAAATAGACAGAACACGATGCATGTAAGATAGACAGAACACGATGTATGTAAATAGACAGAACACAATGTACGTAAGATAGACAGAACACGATGTATGTAAGATAGACAGAACACGATGTATGTAAGATAGACAGAACACGATGTATGTAAGATAGACAGAACACGATGTATGTAAGATAGACAGAACACGATGTATGTAAGATAGACAGAACACGATGTATGTAAGATAGGCAGAACACGATGTATGTAAGACAGACAGAACACGGTGTATGTAAAATATACAGAACACGATGTATATAAGACAGACAGAACACGATGTATGTACAATAGACAGAACACGATGCATGTAAGATAGACAGAAGACGATGTATGTAAGATAGACAGAACACGATGTATGTAAGATAGACAGAACACGATGTATGTAAGATAGACAGAACACGATGTATGTAAATAGACAGAACACAATGTATGTAAGATAGACAGAACACAATATATGTAAGATAGACAGAACACGATGTATGTAAGATAGACAGAACACAATGTATGTAAGATAGACCGAACAGGATGTTATATGAAAGATAAACAGAGCACAATAAACAAAAAATCTATCTACAGAAACATACCCTCATTATGGTTATTGTTGTGTATTCTTTGAAGCTCGCCAACCAATAACCTCTACGTACTACCATCGTCATTGCTTTTTGATAGCCATCGACCAGAAGGAAATCTATAAGTTTAAAAAATTGAGAAACTTAGATATTATTTAAAGTCTCACTCGACCTTCAGAACGTATACATGACGTAATCATGACGTAACAATTGGTTCATCAAATGTAACATTTAAAACGACTTAATCACTTGACGGTTTGTATTGTTTTAATTTGCTTTGCTCTCGAGGTGGTGAATCTTGTTTATCATGCAAATTCCCTCGACAAGACATCGCATTGCATAATTGACTTTAGAAAAAAAGATGGCAGTTTTCATCAACAGTTTGTGGGAGAAAAGCACCTTTCGCACCATTACCACTCTTACACATATATTCGTCTCCCATATGTATTCGTTGAGCTTTTGTGCAAGTGAAAAATGTAAAAACAATTCGTGTGCACAAGTACCCCATTCTACTAACAGACAAAATTGCTTCTCACATGAAATTAACTATGTTAAAAAGCGAATATTTGTAGCCAAATAAACCGCAGCCTTTAGTTTATTACTGTGGCGTTCAAGTCAATATGTAATCAGGTGAGTAAAAACTTACAGGGTGAGTTGGAACTGCCTTCATTCATAATCATCTCATCTCCATCCCAACTGTTGTAGTAGGACATTATATGGAGCCATAATGGAGATTTAGCCTATGGGAAACAACATTGAATGATTACGAAAGAAAACCATGTTTACGCATTTTTTAACAGAAATTAAAAGTGAAGTTCTTCAGCAATTTTTGGTAATTCTAAATGTATTAGAAATAGTGTTGGATGAATTACGTCATTCCATCCAGCACGCAGTGTTACGTCATGACAACGACTATCTAATCACCAGTATGTTTTATATGTTGTAGAACTTAGGCCTCCGCAACAGCCAAGAAAAAGATTCAACAAGTGCCATATTTCACACAAATCAATAACAGTTGATTATATTAAAACATATTTTTTAACACCGCATAGCTACTCAATGCTCTAGAAGGTCATTTAGTTCTTTATATACTTTTTTGTTCTCCTACTATATTAATAAAAACCATGACCTTTAAAAAGTGATCCCTGCCGCTCTCTCTCTCGTTAAGGTTCGTCCTACGATATTAAGTCAAACACAATCATTTGCAATTCTAAAGTTTCAATAATCCACAGACGATGTTCAAGAGTTTGAAAAACAAGCTTTAGTCGTTAATATGCGTTGCATTTAGCTACTTCGTGTTCTCGAGTCTTTACAAATTTGTCTATTCCCGCCAAAAAATCGGTCGTAAGTGAAAAGACACTGAAAGATACCTTCAAATCGTAAGGCCCATGACCCCAGATTCTGTCCAGGAGGTCACACAAACCGGCAATCAGACTGTTTTCTTCAACTCCATTCGCGTCATTATGACCCAGGTCCCTCGCTTCCTGGCCCATCTTCATTACCAGCATTCTTTTCGTCTGTACAAACAAGAAGCGTAATAATCGTTACATCGAGTTGAAAACAGTTTTGTTAAAAGCATGTTGTATGTAATGAACGTTTTCAACTCACCCTCGCTTTGCACTCGGTCAATAATCGTTGAATGAAGTTGATGTGTGCATCAGATGAATTTAGACTCATATCGCCGAGTTGAGACTTTGGACTGCGGGCATTTTCGTTTTCTTGAAGGTACTTCTGCGAAACAAAGCATATTTTTGTAAATTACATATAAATCCATAGCTAAACATGGCAAAATACGCGCGTTTTATTGCAAATATTGTATAGAAGAACGAACTCGGTCGACCATACTGCTCCAAGTCCACATGTACTTGATGTAGAAATAAGAAGAGGTACGTTGTGCGTTGTGTTTTTGCGTTGTCTGTAGCTATAGCTGCTTTTGTTTTTAACGAACTATGTTTTAAACTATATTTAAGGAAACATGTCTTGTTTTTATATAATTATTCTGAGGAAATATTGTTTTAGGCCTTGGAGATGGTTTCTTTCCCGAATTAATCGAAGATGCTTTTCTCTGCGACGAAGTAGACAGTGCGTAAGTTTGTGGAGGATTTTGAAAAATATTTTGACGTTAAAACGGCAATCTTCGTTGCTGGAACATGTAGTTTAATGCACCATTTCAAAATCAACGTAATTCAAAATCAACAAAATCTACCAATTTTCTATATACTTGTGACATTGTTTTGCATCTTCATTCATTTATTATGCGACTCAGAATTCTTATTTTTGATTTTTTTGTTCCTCGCCTCGAATTTCAATACTGTTTCAATGCGATTATCTTTTACCTTTAGTGGTCTATAGCTGAGTTTACATTAGCCTGTGCAAATAGATCTGAACTGAGTCAATTCAATAAATCAAAGAGAATTCTCAAATCAATCATGAATACTTGTTAGAGGGAAAGTCTCGGGCTTGCACTGATCAGCTCTCGAGTTCTCGTAAAGGTCTCCTCAGTTTGCATGCATTACTGCCCTTAGAAACACAGTAAACATCTTTTATTTCTTAATCAAAGCATCTTTATAAATGCAAGAAAAAACTTCAAACCCAAAAAACATAAATTTTTAACACTATCATACGAAAGTGTCGAATTTTCATCATATTTATTACGTAAAAATAACAGAAAAAATTATATTTCTAAAGAAAGAAAAAATGTCGGTAAAGTCAGGTTAAGACAATCTGTTATGCCATAGTTTTACTACTTATGAAGACCAAAAACCCAATTCTTACTTTCAACTCTGTAGCATCACTGACAAAATCAGTGTCATTGTGTAACAGCGATCTTTAGTTCTTATTGCTTATTGTTTGTTAAGTTTGCGAAGACAATGCTATTTGATTGTAATAACATGCAGTAAAGTTCTCTTATGTAATTGTCTAATAAGTCATAATTGGGAAGGTATCGAGCCATAATTGACATCAAAATACGGTCGTTGTGTTCAGGACCGAAAGTAGAACGTTAATTGTGCTAATTGGAGTGAGGGGAAGGGTGAATATTCATATATTCAGCTCTGCCCTGCTGATTTTTTTGAAATTAAAATCGCCAAGAAAAGAAATCAGCAGGTCAGAGCTGAGTACATGAATATTTACCTTCCCCCAATTAACGTTCTAGTCTCGCCCTTGTTGTGTTAGCCTGAAATTTAAAGCAATTAAATTTTCGATCGCATTAGGCTGGATTTCTATTGCGGAAAAAATTGGCGGGTGAAACCATTTGCTCGACCACGTGTTATTTCGTCTTAACTACAACAGTAATCAGCCCCTAAAATTTTAACTCCAACGTAAGATCCAAAGGATCCGTCTGCATATTCGTAATCTACACGAAAGCAGCCTGACTGTGGAGAACATGAGCACGAACGTCACATGTTTCCCCACCATAAACAACATTATCTTAAACAACACTCTCCAAATATATAAATGCAGTTTTCTCTCGAAAAATTTGCATCGGAAAGAATGGATGTATTCACGGAAGTTTTTAACAACGAACAAAGTTAGCACTCCACAAAAAAAGGCGTATATAACATCATAATGCCACAGTTGAGCCACAGTATACAAACAAACAGTGCGTCACTTCACTGTACAACTTAGTGCTGTATAAAGCACTAAGTTGCACAGCACTAAGCAGCAGCCAGTAATTAGATTGCTGGCTGCGGCTTGCCTCCTCAGCGCCACTGTTGGTCAGAAACTGCAATTTACTGAATGCCACTATGTTACTCACATGCTTAATAAGATATGCACTACACCAAAAAATTTCTATAGAGTGGGACTACTTTTTGTTTCTATACTGTGGTTTGTGGTTGAGCTGCAAATGCAATTGGGCTAAGTCTGTATACCACTTTAATGTAGAAAAAAAATTGAAAAATACGCTTAAAATATACCAACCCGAGCTTTTTGTACTTTGGCATTTCTCGTAGGAATGTGATCTGTTTATGTCCAATCTATTCTTCATGGAAGATATCGTTTGATCAAATAACTCGAATCTAGAATCACGCTCCGACAAACTGATCAGTTTTGCGTCGATAAATGAAGCAAACATTTGTGTTTCGATGAAAGGTGAAAGAAAAGACAAAAACGTTGCTGGTTGATCGGACTGGAAGGCAGTCTTGTCGAAATTCTCCATTTCTTCGCGATTTTGAATCCATTCTTCCACGTCCTGGTCATCTTTCGGATGAAACACGAAGCTTTCGTAGTCGAGAAAAACCTGTATAAAGCAGTTTAAAAGAATTTCGCGCACCTCCACATTGAACTCGTACTGTCGAATCATGCCTGAGTCCAAAGCTTTCGTCATGTCGTTCAACTTTGGGTCCATATTATTGATGTCGGTCAAACTTTTATATTTTTGCATATTCAAGTTCGTTTGGATTCCGGTTTTGCGAGCAACTTTATCCAACGATGCCAGTCGAGGATTTTCCTGAATAGATAAGTTCGAAACGCTTTTAGCTGCTCTTAAATAACTTGATCCGGCTTTCCACACATCGAGTTTTTTGACAAATTTTCTAGCAGTTACACGTTCGTCAAGAGATTTCTTTTTTCTATTTGTAGGTGAAGTAGAGGAGTCCATTTTCGAAACACTTTTAATTCTTTTGCTGTTAAATTTAACAAGCACTTCCGAAAGGTCTCGTGCCAATTCTTCGGCGAACGGTAAGTCTGGTAATTCTTCTGGAACTGTCAAAACTCGATTGTTGATATCCAAACAGCAAAGAGAAGACTGAAGAAAAAAATCAAATAACCATCAGAGTGGATTTTTATGAAGGTAAAGAATCATTGTCAACCACAATGCAACGCGCGCTCAAATGATCTCCGCGGTCATTTTCTTGGTTGAATAAAGACAAACGCTGTATCAGTTTGCAATCCGTCAATAATCTCTCCATCTTTTGTGGATGAATAAAAATTTGACTCGTTTTTGAATCAAAAAAGTATGTTCAGATGCCTGCTACTGATTTTTTTCATAAACGTACTTTTTGGGTGGGCAAATAACTATTCAAAATTATGGCAAGCTCAACGGTTGAAAACTTTCAAAAAGAGGAAGACCAAAACCTGGTATTTAAATAAATACTTGGTATTTGGAAACACATACTTTTAACTATTACCTAAGTTGTGCAAAGTGTCAAAGAGAAAGATCATCGTTTGATGGAATAAATTATCATACTTAGCACGAATATAAACAAACAAGAGGCGCGTGTCGCATTGTGCTTCACAACGATTCTTTAATCAGTCCAGGTAAGGTCAAAAATCATCGTGTTTACTTAGAAATAAAATATGTTAACTGTGTTCACACAAGCTCATTCAAAAAGAACTTCGGGAAAACTCGAGAGAAGATCGGTTGCATCAATTCGAGAGATCTCACGAACGTCTCACGAACGTGTTCGAGGTTTACATACTTAAGCCTGTGCAAACATCTTTTATTCTTTTATAAAATTAATAAACACAAAACAGATAAATTGAAAACAAACGCTTAAATTTTTCCTCTAACATGTATTTATGATTGGCTTTCAAACTCTTAAAGATTGATTTATTTGATTGAGCTAAGATTGCATAATGTTTGCACGGGCTAATGAGAACACGGATATTGACAAATCAGCGCGCGCGTTTTATTGTGTTTTATTTTATAAAGCCATATCCTAAAAGCTAAATTTTGCTAATTTGCATGAGCAAAGACTGATTGCAGGATTGCAGGAGTAACAGAACAAATGCATAACTTAGTAACAGAACAGCAAAGAATGGTTTTAAATAATGAAGTTTTGCTTCAAAGAAAATTTTACAATACATTAACAAATCAACAGGTAATGTGGCGAAACCAGCCCGTTTTTACTCCTAGAATAGAAATATTTTGTACTTAATCACTGGTAACACAATACATTGAATAAATTTTCTAATAATTTTGATGAAAAATTTGCATTGTAAGAGTGAAATATCCGGCTGGTTTCGCCATTGATGTAGCTATAGATGGAAAAAAAAGAATTGATTGTGACATACTTATAGGGCCCAGAGATTTTGGTTTGTCGGCCAAATGTTACGACCAAAAATTAAAGAAAGAAAAAACAATTTTTACGTCAACACTCTGCAAGTTTGACGTTCCATCTATGTATTCCGAAATATTTCAAGAAACGCCAATAGTTGTAAATTTATGGAAATCATGGAGAGATTTTTGAAGTCTTGTATTCACTGTTGCTTTACAATATACTTTAATTTTTCTGTTGCAATAGCCAGTACCGTGGCCAGCCCTCAAAATTTGGTCGCGCTAGGTAAATTTCTGATCATTAACATAGTTTATTTTATAGAAATCTATTGTTTTAACAACGTTTTAACAGCTTATATATTGAAACTACTGCAGTTGGTGGATTGCCCAGATGCAAGTTTGGTCCTGCTGTGAAACGTTTTCTGCGCTGACTTACAGAAAAATGATAATGATCTGAAATTTATATAACAGGACCAAAACTTGTCAAACTGGATACGCTACTGACCATAAATGAGAAAGTAAAACTACCGTAGACGGTTTGAAGTATCTCAATAAATCTCGCGTGCATTACCTTTGAGGGAAGAAAATCATCTATGTCGTCTGTGTCCTTGCAGTATAGACCCATGATGAAAGGTACGGGAGCTTCGAGGAAATGAAGAAGAGAGGCGGGAAGTATGGGCACATACACATGTTGCCAATTGTATGGAAAAATTAAAGACACAATGGTTTCAGCGACCAACATAAATGTATAAAAGTCTAAATTGAAGAGTTTTTACAAAATGTTATTCAACGTGGGTTAGCGATAGCAAGATCACTGAGAACAATAAAATATACAGCGTTACTCTTAAAGAAATTTGATGGAAATTCTTGTGACACATCAGTTACATTAATGTTGCCAGTTTGCCATGTTCAAAATAAACAAATCGCAACTTTACTACCAGAAAATGATGAAAAGAACACCAAAAGCATGGGAGCATTAAAAACTTTTTTTCAAAAAACCTTAAAACTTGATTTGACTTATTATTATCGAACTTTCGTTCGTTTTGCAACATACCGATCTCCGCCATTGTAAACGACTTAAATATTTATAGAATTACCAGCAGCTTTCAAACTCAATCTTGTCCGGCATGATGACAATAAAACTTACCAGATCCCAAAATCAATATCTGATGCTCCAACATCACACACGAAATAAGTTTTATAAAATCTTTCACACCAATTAAATTGAAGACATCTTCCAAACTTCCAAAGGGTAATCATTCATTCTCGCCCGGCCTTTGGCACAACACGTCATCTCTAATGCAGGTAAACTTTAGATTCCTTCCCGGGGGAGGCAGTGGCACTTCATAAATCAGATTGTGGATGTAGCATTCCATTGTTAACCTGAATGTACCTTCACTCAACCCCCCCTGATATATCTTATTCAGGCACGATTTTGCTGCGCTCACAAAAGGAAAAGGCATGACCAGACACAGGGACTTGGAAACAAGAAGATTGTGTTCTTCTGAATCGTACAACTTAATGCCTTTGCGTGTTGGTGACGGGAAATTCTTGCGCTCGTACGAATGAAACCCCTCTACATGGCTATGGCAATGTACGGCAGAATGTGACCTGGAATTGTTAGAGGATAGCGCCAACTCGGCAATATACATATCTTGTAGAACCTAGATAAAAAACGAAAAGTGGACAGTTGAAATATGTCCCAAGGGAGTACACAATGATCCGGTTGTTGATGAAACCAATGGCTGCTCTAGATTTTTAGTGCAAAGTTTCCACGGGAACTTTGTAGTATTGTGGTGAGTAGCCAAAATTCACACGAGTCAGTCAGTCAGTCAGTCAGTCTAGTTTAAATACGAAATGAACGTGCATTCCACTCAAACTTGCCAGAAACTGGACTTGTTCATCAACTGATGCAAATTGTTCTACGTAAATATTTTCGAGCATCGTTGCATTTTACTACTCGGTTCTCTTATTATTTAATTAGGTGGAATTTAGCGCTAAAAATATCGCAAACAAAGCATTTTGTTCTTCTGAATACATGAACTTCACATATGTGTCAGAAGAATAAAAAAAATACAACATAACCGAAACAAAGTAAGTAAATCATGAGTGATTTCGTAATTTATATGTTGTATACTGCTTAGTAATAATAAAAGAATGTAATGCATGAATGTCTTAATTGTGTCGTGTCAAATATCCTTATCATGTATCTGCAACGTAAGTGCGCAAACAAATTAATGTTTATTTACGCAATCTTAGAGAAAGTTGTAGCTATTCGTCAAAAAAACAAACTGCTTGGCCTTTGATAAGCACTTCTCGTAATTTCAGTTTGGCATTTTTTGAAACGACAAGGTTTGATACTAAGATTTCGTATTTTATTTGCCATGATTAGGAACATTTTTTTTAAGAAACTGCACTGTCCTTGGATCCCTAGTTTAGTAGTACTGTTATATTAATCGTCTACAGTACATATTATCATGTTAGAATTTTTCTAAAGGGGGTGCTAGAGAATTTTTTTGGAGGGTGGGAGGTGCGCACCCCTTGCCCCTCAAAAAATCTGCCCTTGAAACGACCGCTAGCAACATATCATTTTTATAAAACTAAACTTTCACATCAAACATTCGGCACATACCTGCATCGCTTGACATATCTCGTAGTCTTTCACTTTTTCGTAAAACGTGAGAGAAAAACCGTTCATCCTCGAGCCGTCCTCGCGCGTTATAAGAAAGGAGTGAAATGACGGATTGTGAGTTTCTGTGTTGAGCTTGAATTGAAGACCGTTCGGTAGTGATAACTAAAAATGTTTCGACAAAGACTGAGTGTACATGAAATCATTAAATGTTTTTTTTAATAAAAATTATGTGAAACATTAAGTTGGCCGAGCTTAATGCAAGTATAAATTTGCGAAACACCTCAATCTTGTTTTCCTTACACTAAAGAAATCATAATATAGCAAGTAAATCTTTCCACTCCTCCTCCTTGCAAAAGAGACAAGTCTACTCAAAAGTAGAGAGCCTGGAACAGATTTGAAGAGTGGAAGGGTTTTACTTGCTATATAATGATTGCTTTCGTGCAAGAAAAACATGGTGTTTCGCAAATTTATATTCGCATTAAGCTTGGTCAACTTAATATTTCTTAAACAAAAAGAATGATAGCACAACGCTATAACCAACAACTACAAACAATAACGACCTTATCTAACAACATTTGAGAAATTAACCTTCCACTCCTCTTCCTTGTAAACGAGCCTACAAGTCTACTCAAAAGCAGAGAGCCTTATACACTACAAGTCCCTATCATTCTTTTTGTTTAATAACATTCCAACTATTTAACCTTGTGATTAATATTTCTTATGATTTCTAGAAGAGCGAGTGCATATTTAATTGTCTTTTAGGTAGCTAAGTTTCTTATGAATTAGACCTTATGACACAGGGAGCAAGAGGGGTCATCGTTATTAGTCGGGTTTCAAAGGTACATCGAGTGCACATACTTATGTCCAACTCTCTTCCTTTCGCTTGCGTTTGTGTCAAAGCTACGTCACATGCATATTTGATTGTCTTGAGTGCCATCTTTAGTCTTTGCACGTGCATATGTTTATTCAACACATGCGGGCAAACATTAATAGAAATGCTCTTTCGATGAATAGGTAGTGCGATTGCAAAAACGCAGTAGTTATAAACAAAAATTACTGTTAAAACTGTCCTTTCCGTAGTGGAGCAGGCCTTAAAACAGCTAAACTGGATACAATTTTTTAAAACCACGTCACTCTAAGTATGCGCCTGATAATTATACAGGCCACATGCCGACGTATAATCACTTTCATTTTTATTTTTCCTGGGCCTTAAACAAGTGAACGCCCTGTGGGCGTCTTGTCAACAATAAATAAAGGCGCTGTCACTTGGAAGTATAACAAAAATTATGAAACTTGGTACGTTTATGACAATTTAAGCCCCCTGCAAAAATGCTTAAATCAATTCAAGGGCCATAAAATATATTAAAATGTTTCATGCTTGTTTTTCTTTTGAAACCGAAATTCTGAATGTTAGACGTCGATAAATTTCTTTCAACTACTTTCAGGAGTTACGCCTTCTAAAAGCAACGATTTTCTAATGTCAGAGGTTTCGAAAGTTACGACTTTCTAATGTGATGCCTTCCTTAAGTTACGCCTTCCCAACATTACGATTTCGATTCAAACGTTACAACTTTCTCGCGTTGAAGATTTCTCACGAAACAGATTACAAGTTTTACGGCTTCTCAATGCAAGATACAACGCTCTAACGTTACAACTTTGTACGTAATATCACGGCTTCCTAATCTTACAGATTCGTTATGTTACTGCTTTCTGACATCAATGCTCAAACTTATAACAAAGTCTTAAGTTTAAGTAGTGAAATTTCACAATGCATGCACACGTGACGCATAGGTTTGAAGAAAACTTTCTCCCTTATGACACACACAGATGTTGCTAGAGTCACAACAATTTACAAAACAGAGTCTCGTTTTAAATAAACAATATAATGGCTAAATGCTTCCCTTGCTCAGATCCCTCAGCTTCTCAAGCTCAGTCCCCCCCTTCTCACTTTAGCAAAGTAACAAGGTTTCTTTTATGAAAAATTGGTTGTTTCAAACCAAGCATAAATCATACCATGCAAACTGCATGTTCATCAAATGGATTCCAGGGGACATGATCGAGATAATGAGCTAATGTCTTTGCCCGATAAGACCTTTCAAGGGGTGGAACGTGATGTGAATCACCTACAAAAGAAACCAAAGAAATACTTGAATTTATGAAATGAAAGGATATAAACATTCTTGACATTTTGCAATATTGCAACATGAAGAAACACAAAATGGAAAATCTTTTAGCTGTTTGAGCAAAAATTGTTGACACTGCATATGGCTTGCTCAGTTGAGTTGCCCTTTACTTCAAATAAAAATTATTAAGTTATTGCTTTCTAGTACTATTAAAAAAAAACATAAAACATCAGTCAAAAAAATAATTGGGAAGAAAAAGTTCACTCTTCCGGGCCCAACAGGTCATATTTTTCCCATTTCTAGCTATGAAAGCAACCAATGTTAATGTCATTGTTTGACTTGCAGGAGAATGTTGAGGAAGGAAGAAAAGTTCATTTAGCATAAAAATGATTTAACAAATAAATAACTGTTTTTAGATGTAATAATAATATGTACTTTACATTAAATTATGTGTGTTAAGGTAATTGAATTAAATTATGTAGGCAAAACTTGTATCATCAAATAAATGAATAAGAGTCCCAACAGTCAGAATATTTTAATGAGAATACTTATGAGAATACTTAATGCATCCAATTGTCAAAACAAAAAATCTCAAATAACCACACCTGTCAACACAAAAAATTGGCAAAAATCATATATGCTTTAAACAAAGCAACTACATCAAGTATGAAGGAGAAATTAAATGTTATAATATTTTACATATAAGATGTTAAAAAAAATGAGTACAACAACTTCAATGACTACAATAACTTCAACAGCTTGGATCTCAAAACAGCCACTGTAATAACCTGAAAGTAGTCAATTACTGTATTCAACTGTATTCAATAACTTGGTCCAAACAACTCAGCCCCTATTCAACCCCTAATTTAATTGTAAGCCTAACTTTGACCATAGCTCCCAACCCTAACCTTAGCCTTTACCTAAACCATTATATGGAACATCGTGCTGTCAAACTGTGAAGAGTGCTTGGCAACCAATGCATCTTGAAATTGAATTGGCTGTTGTCCGAACACAATCTGATATAAATAGCTTGCACATAATAATCTTGGAATACATAAAATGTAAACTTAACATCTTCAACCTTCACATATTACAAATGGTAATAATGAAACAACAGTAATATGAGATCGACACAACATGCAAAAAATCACCATCAAATTTCACAATCCATGCAACCAACAACAAACACCATTTGTTAATTAACAACCCTTCGTAAACAAAAAATTGTATAAAAAAGACTTTCATTCGCGCATTTGTGAATGTCAGCACGAAGTCGCAGCGAGCAAACGTCGCATCAAAGAGCACGATCTTTATCATGACTTCATAATCTTAGCCTAAGCAAGTAAAAAGATACGATAAACATCGCGTGTCAAAAACGCAATAAATTGTTGCTTTGAAGGGGTAAGTTTAAATTGAAATAAAAACCTCTCAAATGATTAGTCAGTCATTAAACAAAACTGTAATGAACTTTGATTACAAGAAATTTGTATACGGAAATACGTAAACTCGTCAATCTATGTGCACAGCTGTTCAAGTCGCACATTTCAACATGTTGACAATTTTTGGTCGGCAGCGATACGTTTTCTATACAATAACTACAAAGTAGCATTCTCATTTCAAATGTTAAATAAGATTATCACACACACACGTGTTAAAATGACTCTAACTTCGACCGTTTTAGAGAAAAACCGTCGTAAAGTATCATACCTAATAGCTGGTCGGGTTCCAAGCAGAACACATTGTCAAGTCCGCAAACAACGAAATAGTCAATGAGCCGTTCTCCCGCAGACGTTGGAGCGGTCATGGCGCTCTTCTTTATGTAACCCTTACTTTAAATAGAGAATACGCCATTTTTTAAGCTACATATCACTGTATGCAAAGTCTCGCATGCATCAAACATGCAAAGAAAAAATCGTTCTCGTTCAAATGTCATGAAGTCCAGTGGCGTGCGGTGACCGAATTTAATAGGCAAGCGCTGGGGGTGAGGTTCGCGGCATGCCGCGAAGCTATCTAGGGGTTCTGGGGGCATGCTCCCCCAGAAAATTTTTGGATTTTGAAGGCTACTGGAGCGCATTTCCCGCGATTTCTGGGAGTACTTTGTCGAAAAAATGTATCTGTCATGACTGAAACAGTATTGAAAAAATCTAAAAAATTCAAAAACTATATATCACAATTACGGTTTAAAAGTATTACATGTGGTATTGTGATATAAAGTCGTTTTAAGTAAATGGCTACGCGTGCATTTCTATTGTAGTGAAGAAGTAACAGAACGAAATAGTCCAAAATCCTACAACAGACTTACTTAAATGTAAATTCCATCCGTCTTTCCTTTGCGCAAAACTCCTTTATAACGTCCTCATAGAATCGTGGCTTCCCCTGCAAACTTACCAACATCTCCTTCTCGATTGAAATTGTAGCCAATGCAGAAAGTCGCTCTTGCCCTTGTGTACTGCGAAGATACGTTTTGATACGCTTGAGAGCCGAAAATGATCTTTCTGCAGAGGAGGACGTACTTGGCATAGTAAGAATGAGCTGACACAATCGGTACACCTCTGGAAAACAGGCTTTCAAGTCAAGTTCGATTATTTTTGATATCATATCAAAAACAGGTTTCGATTTGAGCTCGGCAGATGCGTATACAACGATTAGTTCACTTTTTAGTGCTTGAAGATTAAAGAATGTTCCATATGAATCTTGCAACGATTGCAGCTCTCGTTCGGGAAAATTCCGGCTGTACACTTCGTGCTTTGAATGTTCCAACAAAGAAACGAATGCTCTGCTGTTAAGACTTTCGAATCTAGAGTCAATCTGCACGACAATGGTATCGACTACACAGAAAAACATTTGACGGAAGGACGCCTTTACATCCTCTTCACTTTGCCCGCGTTTCAGTGCTACTTTGACGATACTTGACGTAAAATTCCAATAATCTACGAATTTTGTTCGTTGTTCTTGAATCTTATCTTTCGTCTCGCGAACTTTCGTGACACAGAAGACAATATCGAACTGCTTACTCTGAATGATATTATACAAAACATCCGTAAGACCAAATATTTCTGAAAATATTTTAAGGCAGAACACAAACTGGAAATCTGCAAGAACTTGTCAGTAGCCCCTCGCTTCGTTTAACGTCGTACCGTCAAACTCGTCATCATTTTCGATGATGTATTCGAAAACTTCGAGCAGCTTTGCTCTTGTCTCCAGTACAGCATGGATTAACCTGCTCTGATAGTGCCATCGAACAGCTGTTCCAGTGGGAATGCGTCTGCCGACAACTGTGTCCAACAGGTATGTTCTCTTGGACGAGGCGTGAAAAAAGGATGAAAGACCAGTGACGGTTTTAAAAAATATACGACACTCTTTAGTTGACGAGACAGCTTGAATAAGGACCAAATTTAATGCGTGTCCGCAACAGTGGATAAAAAGAGCATGTCTTCTCTTACTCGTGTTTGCAAACCGGACAGTTCTCCTGACATCACACTCGCACCGTCATACGTTTGGGCAATCAGTTTTCGCCGCATCCGTACTCGTTCAGGGTTTTACCGACTTCTTGTTTCAGTCTAGCCGCAGTTCTATCCTCACTTACATCGGTAAATCCAAGAAAGCGCTCCACAGCTTTACCATCTGGGTTGACATAGCGAACTATAGTTGTTAGCTGCGATAAGGTCTTAACGTCGGAGGTTTCATCCAGGGAAATAGCGACAAATGGGCTCCTCATCACTTCATCTTTTATTGCTTTCAACATAACGTCCTTGACAGCAACAATCAAATCGTTCTGGATACGATTAGAAAGTCCAGAAAACACGGTTGCTGTATGAAGATGCTGTTCAAGCGTGGGGTCATATGCACTTAGCAGTTTTATCAATTCGACGTAATTGCCCCTGTTGGCAGACTCCTCCAGCTCCACCCGACCTCTGAAAGAAAGTTCCTGTTTGCCAAGAAAGCAAACAACATCAATGAAACGGCGAAGTACTTCTCTATTCTTGTGCACCATCAAGTTGTGAGCTGAGATGTGTTGACGGGCCTGTTCGTCTAGCTGCATGTCGATGCGTGTACGCCCAAAACTGGCATTCATTAGGCAACTGGACAAGTGTGTCTTCGTTTTCTCGTGTCTGTTGACGGCATTACACAGGTTGGCCAAATCATCGTACCCCTTCTTGCACCAGACTGTCTTGTCTGTTGAGTTGAACAAAAGACACGGCCAGCAAAATAACTTATTCAATTTTGAGGAGCCAGCCAGCCATTTGTACTTGTCGTAATTTGACGTCTGAAAACTTCGAATAAAGACTTTACCACTTCCCTTGGATGTTGTATGTAGTCCTTGCAACTCAGGAGTGGGACGGCCACCTTCGACGATCTCTCGTTTCTCGGAAAAAGGTCTCAATCCAAATGAGCGGGATAACAGTGATTCCACAATGCATTCAGTCATGTTGTACAGGTGTCGTGAAAATACCGAATTGTAGAAGTAGAACATAAAAGGATGAAAATTCCTATGCTATATATTTTATAGGAACATCAATCTTATTTATACCTTACATCAGTTACATGATATCTTGTAGTGACGTACATAACGTGCGTACATTACTCATCTAGATTCATGTATTAGCAATAGAGGAAATAGCCAATCCTACACTTACTCAAACGCGCTACTTAAACTTACGCACTTAACTTTATAATTACGTAAAACTACTCAAATTTCAAGTACATTATCCGTTGTGTAATAACTGCACCTTGTTTATCAAAATATATAAAAAGCCTGTAAATAAATTCTAACATATAGAATACTCACGACTGTTGTAAATAACTTCTTTGCTAGTGAATAAAATAATCACAAAATTTAATAGCGTTCTAGTACATTGAAATCACGTTCAGAGCTCATACGCAAGACTTATATAACGCTAAAGTATAACATGCTACAGATAATATCTTCTACATACATAAATAAGAAATCTACTACTACTTTGAATTAGAAATCAGAACATTACCTTTCGCTCTCAGTCATCTTTTAATAAACGATAACATTAACGGCGTGAATAATTCGGATGTCCAATGTGTTGAATATACGAATATTATTCGTGCGCTGATATGTGTTTAAAATTGCGAGCGTACAAGACTGTTGACCAATCGCTATCAAGCGGCGCCCTTAGAAGCGCCGCTTGCCTTTTCTCGATATTCCTCGAATAAGAAGCCTCCAAATCTAGATTAACGCATGCGCAAATGTTCAAATTGAGCTCCGAAGGCAAGCGCGCTTGCCTTGGTTAATAAATAATTAATTTAATCCACTTAATTTAATACACTTGACTCATCTTACAAGTGTAGCAAAGTGAAACCGAAAACCACGACAGTAAACCGCAGGGGCGGATCCAGCTTCGTATATGAACTTAGGCACAATGTCGCACCGTTAGCGCGACTTTTCTAGGGGGGGGTCCAGGAACATGTCCCCCCCGGTAAAATTTTAAAATTGTATTGCGAAAAACGCTATTTCCTGCGTTTTTGCAGTTGGTCTTCTAAAATATTTATTACTGGAATGAGCTAACATTCTTGCTCATAAATTATCGATTTTTGACCGTTTCGCTCAATATCAGAGCTCATCAGCATGCCTAGGAAACTCGCAAAAAAATATGCTTTGAGGGCTTCCGACATGGACGGCCTGGTTCATTACAAACTTAGCCTAAAAAAATTCTTTACGCTTCATCAATATGGAATTTCATTTTATAATGGTCTAGTCATACCTATATGCTGATTATTATGCAAACGATTTTATGTCAATATATCAAATGAAGTTGTCAATAAAAAAAAAGCAAAAAAATGTTTGTAGATGTCGATCGTCCAGGTAAGTAAAGTCCTGAGAACGATTGTTTGTGTTTATATTGACTGAGGTTAGCGGCAGTCATCTTTACAGTCAAGAGTTTAAAAAAGGCATGAAGAACTTTCACTCCGAACTAGAAAGCTAGTTCAATTCTTCTTTGTCTTTTGCAAAAGATCTATAATTTTTCTATATCTAGATTAATGTCCTGATGAATATACAATAAAGCAAGACCATTTAACCTGTCAGCAGCCATAGTACTTCTTGTATAGTTCTTTAGTCTTCGCAAAGCAGAGAACGACCTCTCACACTCACAAGAAGTGACTGGAATAGTACCTAAGATCTTTAACAATACTTTTATGTTCTCAAAACCTGGAAAATTTACCGACTTTAAAGTAGAAGAGACATTTTCAGGAAGACAAGTTGTAGAAGACGATTCCCAGTATTTCTGCCAGAGATCAAGTTCACCATCTAAAGCCTTTGGATTTGGAAGATCATCCAAGAACAAAGAAGAAAATGAATAAAAGTTTTCCTTCCAAGAAACGCCACAAGAAAGACATAAAAGTAACTTGGATGGAATTAAAAACAAGCCATAATATATGCTAGTTGCTGATGAATCAAACCGTTTTTCTAACTCAGAACACAAGTGATCAGCTAAAGGAATGGTTATTGTTTTCTTAAAGTAATCAGATACAGATTCAGACGGAACATTACTTCTAATTGCCTGACGACCACAAGTTCTAGGTTTTTTCTCTTCAACACCCACCTTTTCTGCCATCGTCAATGCAATACTGTACCAGTTAGCATGATAAACATCGACTTCATTTCTTACAGTTCTCGACAATGTTTTTAATGCCTCAATCAAGTTCAAACCGTCAGCAATATCATTACTAGAAGACTGAAGTAACTGAGTAACTGGAAGAGTAAGATCAAAAATACATCTAGTTATTACGAGTGCTGCAATAAAATCAAAAGATGTCAAAAGATGTAACAGAGGGGAAGCTTTACTAGAGGTCTCACGATTACACTTGCCTTCGACGTTAAAACTCATTTCTTTCAAGGAAAAAACAATAGCAACATACAGTTCTTCAAAAGTACCTAAGCTAGTAATACGCTCGACCCATCTTGTCTTACAAGCACTTTTCAATCTCTTTTTTGCAGAATCTGGACAGCGTTCTCCAATGCATTTCTCCAAAATTAGTTGTCTGCATTGGGAAGAGTTGAAAAAGTTAGCCACTTCCTTCACATGTTCCAAAACATTTCTTACATACTGAACAGCACAAGTCCCACAAATACTAAGATTTAATCTGTGACTGAAACAATGTGTGTAAATGGCTTTCTCATTCAAATTCTTAATCCTTGCAGCAAGACCATTAATGCATCCAGCAACAGCACCTGCGCCATCATACCCCTGCCCACGACAGTCCTGAATGTTCAAATTCAACTCTTCGTTTAAACATTTCAAAATCACAGATGCAAGGTCCTTCCCAGACATACCCTCACTACAATGAATGAAACGAAAAAAATTCTTCTCTTATGTTGAACTCCTCGTCAACAAAACGCAAAACCAAAGACATCTGTTCTTTATTAGAAATATCACATGTTTCGTCTGCAATCAATGCATAAAACTTGCTCTTTTTTTACTTCAACTAGAAGCTGTTCAGTGATGAATTGACCACAACACCTAATTAACTCATTCTGAGTAGTTTTAGAGATGTAGGAGGCATTTTTATCATGATGCTTAAGATGGGATTCCAAAATGGTGTCCCCTGCACGAACACGGAAGTTTAATAATTCAATAAAATTACCAACATGCTTTTCAGAATATTCACCAACTTCAGGATGATGCTGAGAATCATCCCGATGACCTCTAAGTGGTAATTGAAGGCGACCTGCAAGAATGATGGTATCAACTACTGGAACTAATTTTTTCCTATTCTCTGAAATCTTTTTTTTTAAGTTACTGTCAATGATGACATTTATTGGCTGGCTTTACCGGAACTCTGATCCAAGATATCCTTAAGAAGAGCCGAAGTGTGAACATGAAGACCTGATGATGTACTTATATGCCTTTTATTGCACTTTTAGCATCAGGCCAATGTGTTAATGGCTCTGAAAAAATATTTTAATTCGACTGTTTTGGAGGAAACCTATCACCAAACAAAACACATGGTAAGCAAAAAGCACCATTAAGACTTGGAGAATGCGAAAGCCAAAGATAATCCTTCAGCCAATCATGTCGAAAGGACCTACTGCGACCATTTGCATCAGCAGTTTTAGGAAATTCATAGCATTCATCAGGTACGAATACATTCTTCACAAGTTTTTCAATTTCATGAATTTCCATACCTCTCACCTTTTCTCTATAAAAACCAACATCATATGGATTTCTAGGCAAATCAGCATTTGCAGTTTTATTATCTGGTAATTGAAAGGTAGAAGATGAAATAAAAGAAGCATCACAAGAACCCAAAGCGCTACTGTGAGATATACCATATGGATGAGCCTTAGTTTTCATGGTTGTCTCAGTAGGACCAGAAGGTGTAAACCTCAACTTTGTTTGTATACTGGGCTTTTTAGCTTGTGACAAGTGACTACTTCCCTTTCTTTTAGTTTCCTTCCTCCAAGTATCAAAGGCACATAGTGATTGTGTTTGAATGCAGTTGCTTGAGGAGCTGAACCTTCAAAGCAAAACAAAACTCAAATAATTACTAGTGGAAGCACAAGCTCTAGATCAAATTCGAGGTTCAATTCTTTGGTTAAATAATAAATTCCACCTATAAGCACTAGAGTATATGTCAGGATAGTAAGAAAAAATGCTACAGGATGTAACTGAAGAGAGTGCCAACAAACAAACAAACCCAGTCCATGCCATATCTTTTGCATTTAACACAGCTTCTGCCCTGACCAGTTCAGCAACAGAACAACCACTTCCAGCACTATCAATAGCTTCAAAAGAGACTGACATGGCCACCATGCTTGAGATGGAATCAAAGTGTTTGTTATGCTGAGTTTCAAAAAGATTTGAAAAACATGGATGTTTCATAATAATCAGCATATAAAAATAATTCTATAGAGGTCATGAGCCTCAAAATAGTCACCACAGAGTTGTCACCAACAAGCAGAATTGACAATGAACTATAGAGGCAGTTGCCATTTGTAGCAGATCTGAAATAATGTTATGTAAATTTCAAATATTATGCTTCAGTTCATTTTGTATATCTTATCTTAAGTATACTATTAAACACATCAAGAAATAAATCAATAGAAACGTTTTAAATATGATCGAATTTCGAAAATTTGTTTTGTTTTGAATCACATAAATAAACCACAAATGACAAATCCATCGGGCATCACATCAAGTCAATTTATATTTGCTTATATATTCTTGTGTCAGCATGCATGCATAACATGTCATAAGTTTTCTAACCTTAAGGCAACTAAATTTGTGTTCTTTGTCTTGGCACTCTGCGGTATGTAAAATTCGGCATTGATATTTCGGAAAATATCAACACCGAGACGATCCAACAAATTATCGTTGGTAACAATGCTGTTGACTTTCAGGCAATCCAACATCTCTCCGTAGAGTTGAGCCATAAAAGTCTCATCTTTCCTCGTAAAAGCATCTTCGACTCGATCAGTGAAAGATGCCATGCCTCTCATTAAAATCGTTGGTTTTGAAGCTCAAAGATAAAACCTCAGCTATCAACAATCTCAATCTGTGCTGAATTTCGCACAACACCGCTGGAACATTTCAGCAAAAACGGCGGCTCGTTAGTCAGCACAACGGGCAATAAACCAATCAAGAGACAGATTTTAGTCTCCAAATTCAGCACAATTTAAGGCGTGCTGACTCTGTGCGGGTTAGCTATGGGTATTTCTCCCGCAAGTGAAATATAATTTATTTTAGCCACTTGATCCCTTAATCCCAATCTTAATCCAGGTCTTGGAAACAATAACATTGTTCAGTGAATGCACGTTGTTGCACAAATTTCTCATAATACTATCCCTAACCCTGACAATATGCTTATTTTTCTAATGCTTTCGTTCCACACGCGGCAAATTGTTTTTATTTTCAACTAGGGGCATTTAAAATTTGATTAATTTTTTCCGCTGCTGTGAAGAATTTAACTACGTCGCGTGCTGAATGTGACGTAGTTTCAATCCGCCCCTGGTAAACCGCGTATAAATAGCAAGCATTTCAACTGTAAAGACAATTTAGACAAAAGATTACATTGACATTGTTTAGAACAGAAAAATTTAAACTGATTTTGCTCAGAGATTGATCCAAAAAATTTTTGTTCGGTAAAATGCTTAGGCAAGCGGCGCTTGCCTACGCTTGCATGACCGCACGCCACTGATGAAGTCATAGACATGGTTTGATTGATCTCTTGCCACTCCAGCTTCGCGGAGGAAGGACTGTACACTGACCGACCATTGAACTGGACTATTATTTCACCGCTGGCGTTGTTAGACAGGAAGGCACACTCGGACATCTAGCAAAAGTAGGCGCATTCGGAAACTTCTTACGAAGATGATTTCCGACACCCGAGGCTTATTTTTCGTATTGCGTGGATTCTGCGTGATAAATTTGCGTGTAAAGCCTTAATTCGCGGCAATTTAAAACTTATCGCGGGAAAATGGAAATAATTTAAAATAGTAAACAGTCTCTGCATATTGTACATCACCACACAATACAAACGAAGTTAAATTTCTGTTTATGTTTCCGCTGGTAAACTGTTCTTATAAGAACAAGCACATATTTTTATACATATGGAAAGTATTGACATTTCAGCAGCGACTTCTTTATTTAAAATCAAACTGTCTGAACGCTCTGGACTTGTGCAAAATGTAGAGGAAGCAGAAAGTCTCCTTAGAGAGTACGAGTTGGCAAGCACAACTAATTTTTGTGGAAATAAAGAAAAAAAAGGATTTGGGAACACAGGTTTGTATTTTTTTTTCTCAAAATATAACTAATCTATATTAATCTATACGCTTTCCTTATTTCTGTTGTCCAGATCAAATTGTTATATGAAACCTGAATGTTGTCATATTCTTTAATATAAGAAGTACTATAATAATGTCCATGCACATTTGAGTCTTACTATCCTCAGTCTGTCGTTGTGTGTCGAACGAGCAAGGAATAGGGAAACTACACTCATCGCAAAAAAGGTGAAAACCAACTCATAGGTAGTACTTTAGTCTAAAAAAGGGCAAGAGGCAAAGCACAGTTTTTTGTTAAAAAGGGTTTCGTTTAATGTGTACAGAATACAACCACGTAAATCACACAGCAATGTTGAATATAATGGTTCAATTTGAACTAAATGAAATCACTTATTCTATTTTTAATCGAAAAAATGTTAAATCTCACAAGTGCCAATCACAAGGTTTGGTGGAAGATGGCCAGCTTCCGTTTGACCATATACCGTTCGTTCAAGTGAACCATAGGGTCTACGATTGTCGTCATGGGGTAGATAGGCATTCAAGCCGAAAGAAGAAAAACAGAACGGTAATAGATATTATTCATCTGCAAATGCAATACTACAGATTTAATAAAAGTAAATAAAAGTGAAACGACGTTGCTAACTTATAGTACGTTGCAATTAAACTTCCAGTGTGAAGAGCTTTGAAGGAAACTTTGAGTTTTATTGTATTTTAACATTGTCATGTAATCTTGGTTTCTTTCTTCTTCATGAATTTCTTCAGCTACCTTTCCTTTTAGGTGTAATTATTTACCAACATGTTTATATATTTTAGTCAAATTCTAGCGACCACTCGTTTAAGAAGCACAGAAACATGGTTCAAGGAACAAGAAAATTGAACTGTTCAGCACAAGTTCACATGAGAGAATACATCAGATTTCCAGACTTTAGGGTAATTTTAAATAACAGCGATTATTCGTATGCATTACTCGATCTGTCAGGTGTAAACAACAAAATGTCTCGAGGTGTCCAAATCAATTTGCCTTGAAACTTTACTCACACAGGTTTTTGATAAATTTACGCGCCTTTAGATTAAAGAGCAAACGGTTTGGCGACAAAATCGATGTCGAAAAACTTAGGAATGCTTACAAAAAGGTGGAAATGCCAGTGGAGAAAGGTGGATCCATATCCAGTTGCCTTGCCTATCTGAGCACAAAACTCACCCTATAGGAAGCGTAAGGATATATTTAGTCCTAGTTTTCGTACGGTGCAAGTCAATGCCTTGCTATATTGTTTTTAAACCTTACGTTTTATAATCGGCTCCTTTATATGTAGGCTGGAGGTCTTCATCAAGGAATTGATAAGATGCTTGTCTCCAAGATCCAAGAATTGGTTGTTGCTGGGGCTTGCTCAGTTAAAGAAGTTAGGAGGCATCTTAAAATCTACGTGGAGCAAGACCTGTACAAAGCAACAAAGGCACCCGCTAAAACCAATCGGAGATTTTATCCTTCCAAACAAACTATACGCAGCCACATTTACAAGGCAGTCATCAAAGAAAGATTTTCAAAATTTGACCAAGAAAATCTTCAAAAGAAAATCGAAGACTGGAAACTGAGGTGTCCCGACGAGTCTTTCTTCTTTCGCCCGCTTGCTAAATATTCAGCAGAGTCTTTGATTACTCAAGAAAATAGTGTTGATAACGAAAAAGACGACGATGACGATGATGATGACAACACAGTTTTGCCAGAGTCAAAAAATGGATTGTTATTCATTCACCAGACTGTTAATCAGAAACGATTTCTAAAGAGATATGGTAACGAACTTACCCTTCTAGATGCCACTTACAAAACGACAAAATACAGCCTCGCTTTGTTTTTTCTTGTGGTAAAAACCAATGTAAGCTATCAAGTCGTTGGTTCTTTTGTCCTGCAAAGTGAAACATCGTACGCTATTGCGGAGGCTCTTCAAGTTATAAGAGGTTGGAACAACGAGTGGAATCCAGCGTATTTTATGGTAGATTACTCTGAAGAGGAAATGTCGGTGATAAACCGAGTATTCCCAGGTTAATCAAGAAACCTAGAACTAAACTACTTTCAAAGGCACACACAATGCTACACACCTCTTTTGTTTTTAATTGAGGCAGAAATATGCAAATTTCATTTTTTGTGGTGTGGAGTAAAAGATACAATCTAGTCAATACACTTCATGTTAATTGTAAGTATATATTACAGAATGTCAGAGGTACATCTGCGATTTCCATCGAGAGCAAGCGTGGGAGCGATGGCTTTCAAAAAGCAGCAACGGACTGCTCCCGTTAAAAAATATGAATCTCGCAAAACTTAGATTAATTGCCAGAGCGAGGACGGAGGCTGATTACGAGGAAAATGTTAAAAATTTTAAGTCATCAGAAGAATGGAAGACAAACCCAAAACTGCGCAACTGGATTGGCAATACATGGTTATCCCAATACAAGGCAAGAGAATTTTATAATTTGCTAATAATATCATTCTTACAGTGCTCATCAATAATTACAATACATGTTGATTCCGTTAATTTTCTCGCGCGGACAAAATTTATAGAAATGGGTGTGGACCTTTCGAAAAGATCGACTGCTAACAGTCATAAACACAAATAATGGCGTGGAAAGGCAAAACAAAGCTTTCAAGCATGAATATTTGGATGGTTACAAGAATTCAACGTTGAGCGTCATGCTGACAGTGCTAATTGAAGACTTTTTGCCCGACCTTTACTTCAAGTACTTATTTTTTTTTTATTTACTTGAACAAGTCTCTTAGGCGATGGCGAAGCCAGCCCGATCTTTTCCTCCAACAAATCAGATTTCTCAGCAAAATTATTGTTCATTTCTTTAGAAATTCGATTCCATTCATTGTCTTTCCATTGATTAAACACAAAAATATATGATTTGTAGAGGTACAAAAACCGGGCTGGGGAATTCGCTGCTGCTGTTAGCGCTAGTATTTTAGCAGCAACAACGTTGGAAATTCTTGTCTAATTTTACAGATACGTCGAATTAAATACGAAATTGCAGAGCAATTACAGGCAGTACAATTATGATGTCCCGTCATACCTTCACGAAAGACCACACTCTATGATTAGGCATTGTATGGAAAGACTTGCATCGTCAGAAGATACCCTTGCATCACACATCATGGTTGTTGACGAAGTGCATAGAATTTTCAAAGTTCGTAGTCAAGACGACATATGCAAGTTTTATACATTGTCGTTTGGAAGTGATCCAGGTGATCTTCCAAGCTGTGATTGTTATGACTGGGAAAGACACAGGTTGCCATGTAAGCACTTCTTCGCGATTTTCAAGAACTTTCCACTTTGGTCATTTGATAAACTACCGAAGTCGTACACGGAATCTCCATTTTTAACAGTTGATCGAATAGGTTGCACGTCTGTAATGGAAACAAAGCCATTTGAGGTAAGCCAATGTCACTCCGATGATTCTTCACAAACCGTGGAAGCACCAGAGGAAAACAAAATCCACGTAACTAAGGACAAGAACATTTTCCCCACCATTGTAGCTGAGCTAAAACGAAAGCCATCTTCACCTAGAACAGAAGCCGCAAGGTGCAGAGAACGGTTGGGAAAAATAAAGAATTTAACTTATGTTGCTGAGGGATGGGGAAATGGCAATGTTTTGCATGAAGTAAAGGTCAAATTGGATGAATGTTATAAAATACTGACTGATGTTTCTCCAAAGGAAAATGATTTAGTGTTGGAAGTGCCAGATACAAAGAAATCTGCCCCAAAATGTCGCGTCAAAAATAGCAAGTGTTTAGTAAATCCGTTTAAACCCATCCCAAAACCGGCAAAGAAAAATCCCTGGTCAGGTCGAAGTGGTGCAAAAGCAGCAACTTTAAAAAGAAGTTATGCTTCAACATTAACAGAAATTGAAGGAAAGCAAGCAAAGATTGGACGAAATGATTCAAATATTGTGACAGATGAAATAAACTCTTCCCATTACAGACCTATTGAGCCCTTGAACAAAGAATCGGGTGATAAATTGGAAAAGATCGTTCAGACCCCAAAGCGTGGATTTTTTAAACTTAGTGACATTGACATGAACATAATCATCACCAGAAAAGAGTTAACAGATCACATCATTGGTGCTGCACATAATGTTTTGCAGAAACAATTTCCTGTCGTACTTGGTTTAGAAAACACAACACTTGGCCCTGTCACCAATTTTTTTGTACATCGGGGTACTTTTTTCCAGATTCTCCACACAGGTACTCATCACTGGGTATTGGTTTCAAATATTGACTGTCAGCCTGCTTCAGTCAATTTATATGACAGTTTGTACAATGGAAGAGTCAGTTCTTTAACAAAAAAACAAATTGCCAACCTACTCCATGAGCCATCACCATCAATCACAATCAACATACCACATGTCCAGTATCAATCCAATTACGTTGACTGTGGGGTGTTTGCAATTGCATTTCTTGTGTCATTACTTTTTAACCAAGATCCAACAACTTTGATGTATAATGAAGGTTCCATGCGATCACACTTGTTGAGTTGTCTGAAAAAATATGAGTTCACTCCTTTCCCTTCGACAAAGAAAAGGAACATTGATGACAAGAGTCAAATCCAAAGAAAATTGATACTTTCACTGATGTGCCACTGTCGAATGCCATGGAACCAGAAAGATCTTGAAAACCCTGAACTATGGTGTACTCAGTGTGACAAATGCTTGGAGTGGTTCCACAAAAAGTGTTCACCAACAATGCCAGATTCAGTTTTCCACAAGACAAATGTCACTTGGAATGTCCAAAATGCGTATAATGAATCAAAAGAATAAAATGCTTTAGAGGCAACTCAAAGTTGTAACTATAGAAAGAATTGTTATATTTTGTATTCAATTGTAAGAGTTTCTCTGGATTTTTATTAATGATTTATTGAGCTTTCGACTTGGTGCTTCGCGCTTATATATATATGTGCATGTACATTCATGTGTGCATGCACACAAAAAGTAACCACTTTATCAATATTTCAATGTTCAAGGTGACTAATAGCAACTTTCCATTTTTGATATATATACAAATATGTACAAATAGCGACAGCAAAAACTTGTAGATTTTATTTTACAAATATGTAATATATTTCTAAGATGGTAATTAGTTTCCTTAGTTACTTAGTTACCTTGAACATTAAAAATGTTACATATATAATGTAAAATGACTATTACTGATTTTCCCTTTATACTACATGAATATGTTGTTAACAAATTGCCACTGGCACATGCAAAGCATAAAACACAATTGGCAAGATTATATTCTATAAAAAATATGTCAAAAATTTAGTACATAAAGTGATATCAAACCATCATCTAACAAAAAACCAGGGAAATGGAGAATAAAATGTCTAGAATTTTCAATGTTATCATACCTTTCTTGATAAGTTGATTTAGATTTGTTTATACTGTAGAACAAGTGATGGAGAGCTTAAATATGTAATACCAGTGGGCAAAATAATTTCAAAATAAATTGTGCTTTAATTTGCTTTATGCTTTCAGGTTTCAACACATTTAAAGTTAAATAAATGTGTATGGGTATAAATTTTTTAATTTCTAAACTGCTAAACATTTCCATTTAGTTGATCACAATAATGATTAAGCATCACAGGAGACCATTTGTCTTTGTTTACTTGAATGCAAATGTGTCGAATAACATGTCAATATTATAAATATATATTATACTACAATATACTGCAATTACCTTTAAGTTTGGTTAGATCAATAGTCTGTTCAAAATACCACGACCATTTGTCTATCTGTTGTTTTTATTTAAATTATATGCAGCGATATTCATCGCTCACATACACGCAGAATCCACGCAATACGAAAAATAAACCTCGGGTGTCGGAAATCATCTTCGTAAGAAGTTTCCGAATGCCCCTACTTTTGCTAGATGTCCGAGTGTGCCTTCCTGTTAGACATGTCGAACCAAACCCATTGAGTTCTATAAGACCTGGAGGGGAAACGTACGGTGGCCCAGAGGTGCAATACACAAACGCAAATTGAAATACACAAACGCAAATTCAAATACACAAGCGCAAATTCAAATACACAAACGCAAATTCAAATACACAAACACAAATTCAAATACACAAACGCAAATTCAAATACACAAATGCAAATTCAAATACACAAACACAAATTCAAATACACAAACGCAAATTCAAATACACAAATGCAAATTCAAATACACAAACGCAAATTTAAATACACAAACGCAAATTCAAATACACAAACACGAATTCAAATACACAAACACAAATTATAATATGCAAAATTCATATCCGGTTAATTTGCTAGCTAAATGTGTTGTGAATTTACAAAGTTGCCGAAGTGCAGATTATTGTCATATTCTTATATTTTCGTTTCATTTCGAGAAAGTAAAATAAATACAGAACATTCGTGAGGCATTTATTAGCTTTAGCGTTCATGTTAATTTATTATTAAAGCAGAAACAAAACAACATATATTTAATAATTTAAGTTACACGATGAGCGTTGTCCTAGAGTAGGCGGTATCGAGCAGAACAGAAGATAACAATAAATAGTATACAATAAGAAGTGTTTACTAGATCATGTGACTAGTACTATGATCAGATATCGTATACTTAGTTTAATACACATATAATGTATCGTCATTGCAAACAGTTCGTATTATCTTTCCCGGCTGTTGGTAATGTGAACTTAAACACCATGTTTTGTACAGTATGCGGGAATTCACTAAATACAAGTGGTAATTTTTGTGCTAACTGTGGGACGGATCTTCGAAAGTCTGACGAATCAAAGACCTTGCGGAACAGTGATCCATCAACATCAGCTGGGCCTTCTACCGATCCTCGTGCCACCAAACCTTTGACTTTTAAAGAGTATTTGGCAGATATTTCATTTGCCACTGTTGAGAAAAGGAAGCGTCAAGATCTTTTTGTCTCCACGAAAAAGGGGAAGAAGGATGAGACTGTCAAGGTTTGTGATTACTACTCTACCTTTGCAAATAGGTCCTGTCAATAATAATTTGAAGGGTGGGTGATGGTAGTCAATATTCAATGCTTGTTTTTATATAGATATTAGTTATGCAATTTCCACCTATTGAAGCTGAAATATAAAATGCTTGCTATAAGAAATTTGTTTTTTTTGTAGTCATTTGAATCAACACAATAATACTTTTGTTGCATGCTTTAAAAAATCAGGCTCAGGTTTTCATGGAGAAGGATGGAATGGTTTTTGCCATTAAAATGTCCAATTATTTTTTCATTTTTCATCACACATTTTGTGATGCCAGGTCATGAACACCTAGTAACTGGATATTTTTTCCACCACAGATAAACATTGGAATTATTGAGCTAGATGGGAGTCATTTGAAAATTAAGCGAGGCTCACTTCTTCCTATTGATGTAAAAAAATGTGATTCTCATGTTGTGGTAAAAACTGCTGGGGTGGAGAAGCAACTGGCTCACAATAAGCAACTCTGTGATGAAAGTTCCGAATGGGTTTTGTTGTACCCAGATATGGAGTTAGTTTTATATTTACCAGGCACAACAGTGTCGGGATTTGCTTGCCCAACACAGAAAATCACTCTCACTGTTTCGTTTTAAAAGTATTTATTGTCACTCTCGCTTTAAACAATTACAATGTGCTATCGAATGCTCTACCATGCTGTACCCTTTTTTTTTCTTCTGCAAGTGTTGTTGTTAACACTACCGGTACGAACCGGCCAATTCCGACTTTGGTCTCGCGCGACCCACGCGTTAACTAAACTGTTTATCCTTTCCGACACCCTCCACCCTGTCTCGCCAGTGACAAATGTCACTAAGAACTACTATCCTCAAAGTTTGAGACTTCCTGCATCCTCTCTCTTGCCACTACTGCTGCGTTTCTTCTAGGCCGGAATTCTTTCGCGTCTGGATCCAGGGTATTGTTTTCTGTGGCTACTTTTGCATCTTCTACTCTATGTAGCTCTAATGGGAATAGATGCTGTGGTGCTCGGTCAATATGCGTTTTCCGTGTTTTAATCTTTGCTCCTCGAACAACTCCATCCCTTCCCTCATACAGTTCCTCTACGATACCTACACTCCATTTTCCTCGATTTCTTTCTTCTCCTTTTATTAGCACTACGTCACCCACTTCTGGAGATTTTCCCATTTTTCCATGTTTCAGGTTATGTCTCTCTCTTAATGATCTTAGATACTACCCCGTCCACCTCTTCCATATGGCTTTCTTACATCGCTGAATATGTTTTGCTCTTTTCCTTAATTCCTCTTCTTCACTTGCTTCATCATTTTCAATCACTGAGACGGACGGTTGGCCAGTTATCATGGCATTTGGTGTAAGAATTGGCAATTCGTGGTCGTCTTCCACATACGCTAGAGGTCTATTGTTTAGACATATCTCCACATCAAGGATTACCCCTTCCAATTCTTTCCATGTGAGGCTTGATCGACCAACTACCTTATAAAATGCTTGTTTCACCAATCCTATCAGTCTTTCATACTGTCCACCCCACCAAGGGGCCTTGCTTAGGTTGAATTGCCACTTGATATTGTTCTTGGCAAGATAGTCATGAACTTGTCCATATTTTGAGATTTTTCGCACACGTTTGGCTGCGGCCACAAAGGTCTTGGCATTATCTGAGTACACCTTATCTGGCTTGCCACGTCTAGCAACTAACTTCTTGAAGCTATGCATGAATTCTTCTGTTGACATATCTGGTAGCATCTCCAATTGAACCGCTCTTGTTAGGCTGCATCCCACGAGGAGTAGGTACGCTTTTCCTTCTTTACCTGCTCGTTTCTTATAGATGAACGGACCTGCGTAATCCACACCTATGACTTGGAATGGCCGTGATCCTTCTGTGCGGTCCTTTGGGAGGTTGCCAGTGGGTGGTTTTGCGAATGCACTCGCTTGGAGCCTCTTGCAACCGTTGCATCTGCTTCTGACCTTTTTTGTGAGTTGTCGAAGACGTGGTATCCAGTAATTTTCCCTCACCGCAGTCATTGTCAGACTGACTCCCCCATGGAGAGTGCGTAAATGTTCGTGCATGACCAACTTCTTTGCTAATTCGGACTCTGGTGGAATGTAGATCGGGCATTCTCCTTGCATCCTTCCGCGACATTCCAGCACTCCTTCCTCATTTTTCTTAAGGTTTAAGCGTTGAGTGTCTTCTCTCATCTGATCCGAGTTTTCAAAGCGCAGCTGTTCTCTTTTCACCCACCAGAGAACTTGTGGTTGTAGCTCGTTAGTCGTGAGTGGACCCCGTCGACGTTGCTGTTTTTTCTTGAGGTTATACACGAACCTGAACACCCATGCTGTTATTCTCATGGTTTTCCAATAGGGGTACTTCGCCAAGATTGCTGAAAATCTGTCCTCCTCTAGTTGAACTGCAGGCATGAAGACTTCTTTGCATTTCTTTACTTCCGCTTCCGTCTCAACTGTAGCTTCTATGGTTACTTCCTTTGGCCATTTTTCAGGGTCGGAAAGCCATTTTGGTCCTTCAAGCCATTTTTCATACAACTGATCTCCGTTGCAGCCTCGGCTTCCAATATCGGCGGGATTATCTTTTGTTCCCACGTGCTTCCATGAAATGTAATTCTTTTCTCTAATCACCTTTACCCGATTTGCTACGAATTGCTTGTAATTTCCACTTCCATTTATCCAGTATAAGGCAACCATGCTGTCAAGCCATCCAACACAATGCCTTACAGACCCTTCAAGAACGGATCGCACGTTGTCCATCAGCCTTGCCGCCATTTGAGCAGAGACTAACTCAAGTCTTGGAATGGTCAACCCTTTCTTTGCCAATCTTGATTTAGCTGTTATGAGTCCTTGACCGATACCCCTGCCTTGTAGGATAACTGCATGCATACACGGCTGCTGACGTACCTTGACCACTAGCATCTCCAAATGCGTGCAAATCTATGGCTTGTATCCTTTCTCTGTGTGTGACTAAACTTCTGGGTACTTCAATTATACTTGGTACTCTAGTGCACCAGTTGCGCCAACGGTGCATCAGGTTATCAGAAAGTTGTTTGTCCCAGGGTAAATTAGCTTCACAGATGTCCCTATAGATCATCTTTCCAAGTACACTAATTGGCGAAACTAAACCGAGAGGATCAAAGATTGAAGCAATTTCGCTAAGTACTATCCGTTTTGTTACGTTTTCTTCGTTGAATTTTTCGGGGAAATGGACACCGATTGTATCTTTGCTTTTGTTCCAAGGCATACCCAATAGTTTCGTCTCATTTTCTCTAACGCCCAGTCGTTGGTTAGCGTAACTTTGATCGAACGCTGCGTCACTGACCACTGGCTCGCTCGCTTCCAGTTCATTAAGATTTGAGTGCCATTTGTGCAGAGTGAATTTAGCTCTATCAAAGATCTCGATTGCGGTTTCTTTCAACTGTTGTACTTCCTCCACAATGCACACTCCAGTAAGCAGGTCATCAACGTACAAGCTATCTCTTATCTCAGCTACTTCTTTTGGAAACTCCTGTTCTTGACTGTTGAGATGTTGATTGAGTGTCCCAGCTAAAAGAAACGGTGATTGATTTAAACCAAACAGAGCTCGCGTAAATCGATAAACTTCGACTTGCTTGGGGTCTTCTTTGCTCAACCAATGAAACCGTAAGACATCTCGGTCCTTTTGATTTATCCTGATCTGTAAGAACGCTTGCTTTAAATCCGCTGAAAGTGCTTCAGGTTTGAACCGATTGCTCACAAGAACATTCCACAAGAGATTCTGTAATATTGGCCCTGTTTCCAAACAGTCGTTCAATGATAGTGAGTCTTCACTTTCCTTGGCTGAGGCATCATAAACCACGCGAACTTTAGTACTTTCTGCTGATTTTCTGACTACCGGTTTGTGTGGGAGGTAGAATTCACGTCCCTTTGCTTCATGTGTCACCTTTTCAATGATTCCTTGTTCTTCCTGTTCTTTCATTATCTGCTGGTACTGTTCAAAGAGTCTTGGCTTTTTCTCAAGCTTTTTGACTAATTTGCCAAGCCTCGCAAGGCTCCCTGCCTTATTACTTGGTAGACTGCTGGTGGTTGGCTTATATAAAAGCCCTGTCTCGTACCATCCTTCTGGACTTTGGATTAACTGATCCTTAAAATCCTGGTAGATTGTTTCATCTCCATTTGACTGATCTTCCAAACCAAGCACGTCTAGGTCGCATAATTTCCTGTAATCTTCCATAGAAGACCTTGCAAACAATGATTTCGTGAGATCCTCCTCAGTTCCTGGTGATAACAACGTCCAACCAAATTTAGTGAGTTCAGCTACTGGCTCACCAGGTTCACCAACGCAGGGCTCCGTAGCAGTTTTGATCTTAGCATAATCACTCGCACCCAGAATTAAATGGACAGGAAGTTGAGGTTTTGCATCAGTATCATCCATTTTGACCTTCTTGAGATGATCAAACTTACTTAAAACTTCTTCATATTTAGGATTGTCAACGAGGAGTAAGTTATTCCGGTCGACCTTTGTTACTTCAGTTTTGAGCTTGTGTTTCTCGTCTAAGTCACTGATTGTTACTTCGTGTACCTCAATTATACGGCTTGTAGACTGCATCATCATTTCTATCCTTTTGAACACCTTCCGCACCGGTCGCTTATTCAATCTCTCCACCAGCGCTCCTGAAGCGTAGGAGCTCCCAGCCCCTGTGTCTAGAAGTGCTCTGCAAATAATTCCGTCAACTTTGACCAGAACGATTGGATATATCACCTTGTTCTCCCCCTTTGCTACCAGCATTTGTTCGGTTTGTGGTTTAACGCCTTCTTGCTCGTTTGGTCTTTTATCGCAGATGGATGAGTGATGCCTTCTTTTGCAATGTTGGCATGTTTGTTGGCTACGACATTCAGACGCTTTGTGTCGTGGACCCGTACAGTTAAAGCACAGTTTCTTTTCTCCAAGAATTCTTCTACGATCACTAACACTGACCACCTTTTTACACTCAGCAGATCGATGACTAGTATCATTGCAATATACACACCCCTTTTTTCTCGACTCTTGTTGACGAACTTGAAAGCTCCTTGATTTGCTATGCCTGTCCTGAGAGCCATCATCTTGTTTAACTGGATTTCTCACCGTCCACTTTCTTAGCGCTTCGATAAACTCCGGAAACCTCCATTCTTGCCAGTCGTCATCGGTTCTCACAAGATCGCTTCGAATTCCTTCTAGTTTGTCAATTGTCATTCTGACATAGCCTGATACTTCCTTGAGTTTCCCAAGTGTCTCGAGAGATTGTACGCTTGTTAGTAGTGTTTCATAAAATGCATGGATTTTACCAGGCTTAGTTCCTTGAATGTTGGGCAGGTTGATGATGTTTTGAACATAAGCGTTGATGACTTCGCTGGTTTTGCCGTATTTAGTCGTCAAAATGTTCTTAGCTCGTTCATATCCCTCTGATGTGAATGGTAATCCATCGATACATGACCGCACTTTTGGTTCGACAAGCTCCTTTAAGTATGAAAATTTAGTTATACTAGAGACATCCGAATTGTCAATTTCAGCATTAAACTGCCCCCAAAATCTACGCCAGTCCGTATGTTGTCCGGTAAACTTGGTAATAACCAGTTTCGGTAATTTTGTTGTCAATTTGGTGGCGCCATTTTTTCCGCTTGTGGACTTTTCTCGATTTTCAGACAAGGCCTTTTCGTGCTCCATGCGACGCTCAAATTTGGTTTGTTCTAGTTTCAAATCTTCTTCGCCCTTAACCCGATCTTGTTCGTGTTTCAACTCCCGTATAGCGTTCTCGAATTCTGCCAGTTTTCCTTCAATTTTCTCTGTCCAGTCTCGTACATTGTCTACGTTTTCGCCGCTCTCAAAGTTTAATTCCTGAATCTGCTCTTTTAAAGCGTGTACTTCTTCGGTTTTCCTTTCTAAAGTCTTCCTCTGTCTCTCCATTCCTGCCAAGTCATTTTTCCCCAAGATATTTACTGTTTTCTCATTTGTGAACTTCAGGAATTGGATTTTCGTCTCGATCGCTTTTACTAGTTTATCCATGTTAATCTCGTCCCATCGGGGGTGCCACTTGTCGGGATTTTCTTGCCCAACGCAGAAAATCACTCTCACTGTTTCGTTTTAAAAGTATTTATTGTCACTCTTGCTTTAAACAATTACAATGTGCTATCGAATGCTCTACCATGCTGTACCCTTTTTTTTTTCTTCTGCAAGTGTTGTCACAGAATAGATACATACAGAAGGGCCACTTCGCGAAAAATGCGGTCCTAAATTTTAATGCGCATGCGCCACTTCCGCCATGTTGGCAGCAAGATAAACTTGCTACACTAAGTAAGGGTAGCAATGTACAACTCAAAAATCTTGGCGTTATTACTTGAAAAGTTGAAATATTTATCCTGAGACGACGAAATCAAAGCTGTGCTGAAATGGGAACATACAATCAACATATTTTTATGCTTTTTCATGTACAACCAATGTGTACAATTCTATCGAGACCTGTATAAGAAATGCTGTGCCGTGGCCGTGTGGTCAAGGTTATTCGTATTTATTTATTTGTAAAGAACGGAAGCGGAGAAGCGCTTAACGAACGTCTTTAAATCAGAAACAAGAAGGAACAATGTGAAATTTATCAACGGACGGGCTACACTAAAAAAGATATTTCGTATGACATTGGATTTGGTGCTTTAGAATTCAGACAAATTTAGTCATATCCCGAACACTCGATAAATGTTCATTGAGAAATTGCAAACTTGTGCAATTGTATTTAATGCCAATGCCATATTGTGTTGGGAAAATTCTTATATTGTATGATTGTAGCTAACTTCCAGATGCTCTTAACTATATGTTCCTTATATTTGTCATGTTTTAGATAATTTAAAGTATTGATTCCGTTGTAAGGAAATAAAATTGTCCTCTTGCTTCTATTAATATATATATATATATTGTTATTTTCGTTACATCTCTGTCGCTGCATTAATTTTCAGATTAATTTTCAAGTTAAATATGCTGCACAAATATTCAGCCACACCGTTGCTGCATCGATTTGCACATATTCATCAATTGGAGCACTACCACCATCAGCCTTGGGTACAGCTGAGTTGCTTTTCAAATTTGATTCGCTTTTTGATTGCGTCAATAGTTCCACACTGAAATCAGCAAAAGAACAAAGAAGTGCAATAAGCAACAGCAATAATCACATTGCTTTTCTCAAAGAAGCAATGTCCTTTATCCAGGGAATCAAAGTGGTAAAAGATGGTAAAAACATCACAGGCAGAATCAAATCACTGAAGGGATGGCTTATATCTATAAAGGCCATTATCTGTCTCTGGACCTATCTTCATGCCTCACATAATTTTGCATTCTTGCTTACCAGAAGATTAAACACAGATGCTCTAGAGAATTTTTTTGGAACAATATGCCAGCAAGGAGGTAATTCTGACAATCCCACGCCAATACAATTTATCAGAGCTTTTCGAAAGGTTTTTTTTAGTTCACTTTTGACCTCTTCCAAAGGAAACTGTTCTAAAGATATGGACACTCTGCTAACACAATTTTCAAAAAAAAAGCCCAAACCATTTATTATGCCACTTACCCATGCAAAAGCTCCAAGTAACTCACTGTTGATTGGTGAAAATGACTACCGAGAACAAAATATTGGCAACAATTTATTGCTCAAAAATGCTGCTGCCTATGTTTCAGGATATTTGCTGAGCAAAGCTTTCAAAATCCACAGCTGTCTCCAATGTAAGAACGTTTTGACTTCAAATAACATAAACAATGATGGTAATTTACTTTGCTATTTCAAGGCATATAAAGAACTCAACTTTGGTGGGCTGACTGCTCCTTCATCGTGCTATTTAAATTACATTATGCAACTTCAAGACACCTTCGTGGATTGCTTCTCAGTCACAACCAAAAATCTCAATGATGGAAAGAGCATCTTGAAGAGTCTTAACATGATACCAGTGCCATTCCGTACATGTTCACAGTTTCCACTGCAATATTTGGTCAAACTTTTTTTAAGAATGCGAATTTATTACGGCATCAAATTTGCAAATCGCGAGTTTTCCTCTTCTAATAAAAGATCGCGAAAGTACATTAAAGTCAAGCATTTGTAACATTCTACAAACTTACTACAAGAAAAATTCCATAGACAAAGTTGATGATCCTTTTCATTGTAACTCGCAATACAAGCATAACCATGATTGAATGTTGGCAAGTTGGCAAAAGCATCAGACCACAATAACAAAATTTTGACTCTAAAACGTGTATTCCAACGATGCGATTCGACCTAAGTTGTCAAAATTACCTTCTTTGACATTGCTCGTGATGGCATACACAAAACAAAAATGGAATAGCCATATAATTATCGAGGACGCGCCGAACTGTTTCTCATTACTATATTTTCAACACAGTCTCAAGCTTAAATAGATGAATAGCATCAATTGACAATAATAATCATCAATCCAAGGGAAACTCCGTAACTATCCAAATTCAATACGTTTTGCGCACCCGCGAAAAGTGAACATGGCGGAAAAACCATTGAGTTCTATAATAACTGGAGCGGCTATCTCAAGCGCGGCTTTAGATATCGCATGTTGTAAAAAACATGGCGGATTTCGTCCGTTGCCGCTGAGATTTACCGAAATTGACCGCTTTTCCGAAAATTTCCCAATTTCCCACTCCCTCCTGAGGAAAGAGTGAGGAAAATGTATGTGTGTATTTGGGATTCGGCAAGCAATTTTTTGATGAAAATCAAGGTAAAAACCTTAAATTCATAACAGCGAGTCAACTGTGGTTGTCAGTTATCTGCTCCTACAAGGATGCATTTATAACTATCGACGAAAGAACTATATGTCGGCTACACATGTATGAATGCAGATGTGCGTCGTTTTCTTACCAGCTTCAAACTTGTTTGATCGATTAAACTCTTTAGTCAATACAAAAAAGTATATCTTAGTTCATCTCCACGGTTCACGAGAGAGAAGTCAGCTTATTTGTTATCATTGCTATTTTGCTTCTTTTCATGCAATGGGCAATGGCTTTTTTCGCCACAATTGTAGGATTTTTACTTGTTTCTTTAAAAAAGTACATATTAAATCTCTGGATATTTACGGATTTTCTGTAATTGAGTTAAATATGAAATTTCAAAAAGACTCAAGTCTTCATAGGTTTGGTAAATGAAAACAAGCAATATTGTATAGAAATTACTTTAAGTAACCTTTTTGTGATGTTCTGAAGTGCAAGTGAATCAAATACTTGTAAAGTTGTAGCACATTTTGATTTTGTTGTATTGATAGCACACTTTGTTTTGTTTTTCCTATATTTGCAATAAAAGTGCACTATAATTTGAATGATTAACACAGTTTTCACCTCAATAATAAATTTCATAAGCAGTTGGTAGTGCATTTTGTTCTCTGAGTATCCACATCTGGTGTTTTGTTCATACAAGAATGATGAAGTGCAAGTAGATATGTCATAGTAAGGCAATAAAACCAAATGAATTACATACCTATAGTGTACTTTTATGCTAGAAGCTTAAAAGCTTTTAGAAATTAGAAAGTTATTGTATTATATTACCTCTATATCATCAATCTCATGATAAGAAAAAGAAGCAAAAATTTGTAGAAAAGCTTTGAAAAGTGAAAACTTTCTTTAAAAAGCAGCAATAATGCATATGATAAATCTCCATTCTGTACTCTAATAGGTAAATAAGCTCAAAGTTTTCTTAAAGAAATATAAGAAATATATAAGAAATATACAGTACAGTAACTTTAATGGTTTCATCACTGAATCTTTAATGCTTCAGTATAGTGCATTAGATATTAGTAACATTCAAACAACACTCAACTAAAATATTTTGATAAAGATATGACATGATTTAAACATTAAGTTACATAAAACCCAACGGTTTATACAGTTTGAAGCTTCACATCTGCATTGAGTCATCATCAATCTCAGTACAAATGTTTACATAGACACAAACTTTATGGCCTTCTATTTTACATGTTTGTGAATTGACATTTCATTAAGCATCAAAACACACACAACCTTCTTGCCATCTTTCTTTGGATCATGAACTTTAACTTCAAAGCATTCAAGGCATCCTTAGTGAATCCACTGTCTCCATCCATAGAATTTGACCATGATTAAATTAAATAACTCTGGATAGGGCAGACAATAAATCAATTATCTTTACAGCATTATCATTTTTTAAGACTCTGCCTGGTCAATAACATCTTCCAGTCATCTTTACTCCTTGATCTTCCCTGCATGTTGTCAGCAAATAGAACATAACAAGCTCTGCTCCAAATCATGGGTACCGTTGGGGCTGATCATTTCTTTTTGATACTTACTCACAGAGCAAAATGTGTGCAGGGTCTTTTTTGCTTTAGGGAAACTATTTTGCAAATAAATGGGTAAATTTACGATTTCATGCATTAACAAATGACAGAAAAGTATGCAGAATTTTATAAACAAAAACAGGAAAACATCAGCATATTTGGCTTTCAAGTCAGTCTTAAAGAATACGATCTTTAATATGTATTTTATGGCTTTTCAAGTGCATGTATAATTGCTTTTCAATCGTTGACGGACTAACAAAACAAACAACTACCTCACCTGTGAGAAGCGATATGTTCCTTTTTGTGGAAACTACGACATCCAACAATTGAACGATTGAAGTGTTCGCATTATAAAAGAAATGCCAAAAAAGATATCGTCACAGAATATGGAACTAACGATATCCATATTCTGTGATATCGTGTTTGTTTTTGAAAAACTCTTTTTATTTACTATAGACACCAGGGGGAGGTCGAGAATATTATTTTTCTGCAAAGCGATCATTTCAGCGGAAATACGTCCGTTGGCCGCCATTTTTTTGGCATCCTCGCCCCAGTAAAGTTAGCCCCTCCAGTTATTATAGAACTCAATGGGAAAAACGACCAAAACGTAAGAATTCACCATATTATAGATATTGCTGTTCAAAAGGAATGGAATCAATGTGTATTAAATTAGGCAAATTTTAACTACAATTAAGCTATTATTTATTCTACCTTGATATACAGCGTGTAAAAAGAAGAAATCCGAGACTCTGGAGAAAGTTCTGAATGATGGTTTAGCATTGTTGGCGAAAGAAAAAGGATCAAAATGTCGGGGGAAAAAGCCTTCTCATTTTCGCTTAGTGCAAGTTGGTTGTAAGAGGTTGACCCACACGCCTTACCGCTGCCGTCAAGGATCAATTAAGCAAAATGGTAATGTTAATATTTAGTATTTATATTAAAATTTACTATCTTCAGTAATATGTTGAGATCAGGGGCGGATCTAGGATTTTTCAAACATCAGTCATAAAACATCGGAGGCGCTCCGCACCTGGGGGGGTCTGAGGCTATCTCTCCTGAGAAATTTTGAATTTCAGAGCCTTAAAAATGCCATTTTCAGCGTTTCAGAGCATTACAAAATGTATTTTGTGGGCATCGTTTTTGCATAAATACAACACATTTTGGTTACGTTTTTTTTCAAAAAAAAAAATGAAGTGAACAATACTTGAATGTTTTGCCAAATATTTAGGCTCATTATTATGCCAAATATATGGCTCATTAGCATGTCTAGGAACGTAAAATTTATTTTACAATAATGCTATATTCAAAAACAGATATAGCCTTTAAAATTTCTACCAAGTTGTCAGGCATAGACCCCTAGAGACCCCATTCAAACCTCTATGTAATGAGTTAAGTTAGAAATTTGGTACTACAAGTGACAGTTCATAGATATAGAAAAGCTCAGACTTCAAACCATGCAAGTTTATTGTAACCCTTTACCCATCTCCACATCAGTATTAGCAAATTCACCTTTTGAGGAAAAACTCAAAATTTTTTTCTGCCAAAGCTTAAGCAAAATTATCAGAGTGAAAATTTGCAGATAAGGACAGCTGAATGCCATAAATGTTTATTAGGCATTTCACTTGACTATTATCTTCTTCAAGGTGTGCTATATAGCAATCACTAGTAGCATTGTATTATCAATTACAAACAGAATGTAACCAACATGTCTTTAATTATATAATTACATGAATGTTAAAATTGGTTCATGTGTCATGCTTACTGGTTATGATAAATATCATTTCATATGATCAAAGCTCGTTTAAATGTAAATCTGAAATAATTTAGTTTAGAAATTATAATGATCATCAGAAAAATTACCTAGTGATCATGAAAAATACTTTGCTGTTTTGCCAAATTTCAAGGTTTATCTGCATACATAGGAAGACATTTTTACTTTATAGAAAATGCTTTTCATACATCAATAGCCCTTTGGAATTTATGGCAAACAATCTGGTATGAGCCGTAGATTAACACACCTTTACATCTCTACATGAGGTGTTCAGTTAGAAAAGGGACAATATGTGACATGGGACAACATTTCATGTATCTGAAATACTAAGGTTTAATACCATTCCAGTCAAATTGTCAAAATAAAAGCTTCATGGATCAGAAGACTCAAAATCACAGGTTATAGTAAACAGCTTCTCATGTAATCAATGTTAGTTTTCTCAAATCTTAAACAATATGTAGTATAACTGTCTAATGATTGAATGATCAATGATCATAAACTGAAAAGCCCCAAACATTTGTTTATGATAAAGTAAATAATAGTATGGCGCCTTATGGCTACAGATTTTTTGTCCATTGAAATATATTTGCAGGAATGTAGGATTTCGCTGCCATATACGGTCACGATTCCTAAGCACTAAAGAAATCATAGCTAAAAGTCCTTCGGCAACAACAATTTTAGAAGCATCTATCTGCTTACCATACGCCATATTAACATAAATCGCATCACACACTCGCATAAATTGACTTTGATATATTACATTCATGCATACACTTCAGTTGTCCTTTACTTACGATTTTGGATGTAAATTTCTGCTGATAAAACTCAAAACAATGTTGGCTTGCTTTTGAACATCAATGACTGAAATGTCGCTCGCGAGATCGTCTTTGCCAAGCATTTACAATTCATCCATAAATTTTTCGCCCTCTTGAAAAAATTCCCAGTTTGGTAAAGCAGCATTCATGTCAACATATGAATTTGTAAAAGATTTCCATAAATTCCATCTGATTGTAGTTTAGTTTCTATCATGCTTTAGAAAATTATTATGAAACGATCAAACATTCAATTCAGACAGTGAGCTTGACTATGTTAGTTCAGTTGGCTATCAGTCGAAATAGGTCAAACCAATCACAGTAAGACAAAAATTTAAACGAACCAATTACACGATAGCAAGTGGACTCCCTTATAGGTCCGGCCACCCCTATTATCGGTCGAGATTATTCCAGACTGTCCACTGATCTGGCCATTGACCAATAAAATAGCGTTTCTGGCGTTCATAGACTCCTTTATAAGTCGAACCAGTCAAGCCACCCCGCTTATCAGTCGGTTATTCCAGGTCAATTAAAATTCAACTGATCTGGTTACCAAGGAGATATTCATTGGATTAGTCATTAGTTTTCAACAATAAATAAAGCTGGATTTTTATCACGAAGTAAATGCGATAATAAAGTAAGAATAATTAATGATTTTTAACTAATATGAATAGGTAATTTTTGAGTTTCAAACATCAGTCGCGCGACGGATTTGACATACTCTAGATCCGCCCCTGGTTGAGATAGTTGTTCTTGTTTGCAATTTTATGCTAAATAATATGTAGTATGCATGTGTAACTACATCATGCTATGAAATTTTGTACTTGAAATATTGACTGTACAATTTTGCTGCTTTAAATCATATATGGCTCAAACAATTTTGTCCAGTGTCCTTAGCAGATTTGACTATTTAGTTTCTTATGGGTAAGCAGAAAGACAACTGAGTAAACTTTCATTACATTACCATGCATGGTTGTACCTAAAACTGTTACAGGTCAATGTTGTTTAAGTTAGGTACTGTATAAGAAATTGCATTGTAAATTTATATTAGATAACCAGCAGTATGATAGCTCTGTGGCTGATGACTTTCAAGTAAATGATGAGCACAAGCAAACAGACGTTGATATTGGTAAGCATCAATGTATATGTATAATATTAAGTTAAATGTAATAGATTTGTCTAATGATTGCTCATGCTTGAAATGCTTTTGCTAAAACTAATAATTGCATTTGAAATCAATAATTGCAATAATTTGTTGAAATGCATGTATGTAGCTCTATCCACTTTGATATTGAGCACCTTTATTTGAAATTGTCTTAGATCATATACCGTCTCATTTAATCAGAAATTGTCCACAACAAGCTCACTCAGCTAACAATTTTAATTTCTTTACTGGTTAAATTTTTATAATATAAGTCATTATTGTTTTGTAGAGCTAGAGAATCTTATATTTGAATGCAGAGGACTTTTGGCTTCAGAGAAAGAGGATGCCAAGAAATGGTCTGATCGCATGGAAGAGCTTCATTCTCTTTGGGAAAATAATAGATCTACCATATTCGAAACCTTGATCCAATGTGAATCAGTTGATAAAGGCACACCATGCTTCAATTGTGGGGAATCTCCAGGCTTGATAAAGTGTCATCAGTGTGGTAGTAACTGGCCAGTCTGTGTTGATTGTGATAGGAAAATTCATGAAAGAAAGCCATTCCATGATAGACATGGGTGGATGGGTAATCATTTCAGACCACTTCAGCCATCACATTCATTGGATAAAATGGACAAATAATTGAAGTTGGTATGTCATGTAAATATGGTAAAAGTATGTTAAATGTCATATGCACTATGCTAACTGATGTCAAAATCAACCTACATATGTAGCTACTTATAGGTATATAATTTGGGGTGATATAATTCTATTATTTATACAAAAAAAGGTTTTATCTCCCAGTCTAATGATGAAAATTTATTATATTTGTTTCTTAGATTGCTATGTTTCTTTGCATCCTGTCCAAAAGTTTTGTCATGGCTGCTCTAGAAAATCAACCTTTCACTCCGTGCCCAGTAAGAACATGCTGACTATTTGTACAACACAAGGTAATGTACAAAGTATTTTATACTTGCAATGTTGAACATGCAAAATTTTGTGTTTGCTCCAATAAAATGTAATCTTATTGAACCGACAACTGTTGACATTAATCTTTAAACATTTTTGATTTCCTTCTTCATCAGTGTTGTGAAGGACTACTATATAATTTACTCATTAATTTACTGTAGTATTCTTCTTACATACTGTAATAGTTACATGTATACAGTAAACTGCCATCCTATGTACATAATGTCTTTTTAGTTATCATGTTTATTAATCTTTTTCTATTGTTAGGTCGCTTTGACATAAACAGTACATCATTCAAGTGTGTTTCTTGTTCAGCATTCTTGATGTTCAGAACATGTTTCAGAGCATATTTCAGAGCATATTAGAAAGGTTTATTCCACTCCCCAAGTTCGGGTAATTTGGAGGTCATGCTTTGCACTGATGTTGAAATGTTTTGTACAGTTCAGTACTATACACCATTACATGAGTAAAGTTCTTTTCATTATAACTCAATACTTACCCTTTTGATAATATTTATTCATTATTATTGGTTTTGCATTTTGGCTATTGTATTCATTGTAATAAATAATAAAATCGACAGTTTAGCCTTTTCTGAATCAATATATAAATGTTCGTTTTTCCACGATCATGGTTCGAATTTGAATCTTTTGTGTTACAAAACTTTTCTGATGACGGGAAATGTGGTGAAAGTAATTGGCGAGCTGCTGGAAATAAAGGAAAACGAAAGAGTCGTCTAGACGAAACAGGACTGGAAATTGCAGGTTGCCGGCATGCAATTGCTCAGTGGGCTGTAAACATGTTTCGCGGAGAGATTTATGGCTACTCTAATTACATCCATGTTCACAAAATGATTCCAAACAATGTTAAATACATTTGGCAAGATATCATATGTAAATATTACATTTGGCAAGATATCATATGTAAATATTGGAAGTGGGCAGTGAAGGCATCAAAGTCGGATGAGTCAAATGCTCACGAAATAAAACCTGCTTTATCTGTGATGCATGCCAAAGCACATAATTGGACATGCCAGGTACACTGGTATCATGTGTTTTTTATAATGAATGCTGGCTGTGTACTTATACGTATATCGATGTTCACTCTCAGTATTGTCTACTCAGACATTAATGAATTTCTTATAAACAAGAATTTCCAAACTCGTCTTATTTTAAGGTATTGTGGGAGGACGGTGGCAAAAGGTTCTGCATATTCCACAGGAGAGGAAGTTGAGCAGATTAATAGTTACCTTTCGAGACTGGCCAACACTACAAAGTACATGTTACCCGAGTGTAAGTGTTACTTAAAATAAGTTTATAAAATATGTTTAATTATATTGTAGACTTTATTTGTTGGATAGAACGATTATCCATATAACGTAGCTATCGTCCACGTTGGTCTCAAGTTACTGGAACATTTTTTATGGTTTTCAATTGATGTCATGCTATGTATGTGCTTTTTTGACAATTTTAGCAAGAGAAGAACTCATAACTGAACATGCTCTTGCGTGGAATAAACGGAAAATATGTGATCTGTCCAGCTCCCTCTGCAAGAGATATGCAAAGGTTGCTTCTCAAAAACTATTTTGTACATGCGGCCAAATAACGCTACTAACAGCCGTCATCCTGATAAGTTATTTTCTTTTTAGTATATAGAAGCTCAAGAAAATACAAGGAAAGAACTTGATGAAATGGTTTCTGGCGTAAATCTCTCTCCGAACCACGTTGATTTCTTGCAGTGGAAGAGTGAAGTTCAACGTATTGCAAAAGGTAACCGGGTTTTACTTGCTGGCATAATTTAATACGACTGTGCAGTATATCATATTTTTTTCTGTTTCTGTAGAAATGGAAAGCTCCTTCTTCACGTATTTAGCCGAAGAAGAGGAATTGTACGTTTTGACCTCCTCTTTAACCGATACCTCTTTATTGACATCAAATGTAAACATCTCGTGTGTTGAGACTGAAGACTATCTTTCTGCCCTGTCAAAAAAGATAATTCAAAGATACTCCACCGTTGAGGATAAACGTAAAAGAGTTAAATCACTGACTGCCAAGCTTTGTCGTGATATAACCGCCGATGTACTGCTTGATAGAGGAAAAAAGTTATTTTTGGAAAGTGCCTTGAAGTGTCTTAAGAATGAACTAGAAATGTTGTAAAATTGGGAAGTATGTTTTTACATATACACGTATATTACTACATAAGAGGAGTGCATTTGTTAGCAAGAATCCATACTGAAGTCATTGCAAATTTAAGGCAAAAATAGATTGTTTCTTATTTAGTATACTTACCTGTTTCTTTTTGCCTGTAGACTCAGCAAAAGCAAGAACAAAGATAAGACAGAAGATGTCTAGTGGTCAGAAAAACATTGACAAAAAAATGCGCATATTCAACGTATTACAGTTTGTTGTGCATGGTCAAGAAGAAACAGTAAGACTCGACGAGTGTTCTCTGGTTGATGGCATGTTTCCCTGGACTCTCAATGGTGTGTACCTAAAACATATTCTGTAAATTCCAACATGCCTTAAGTAAGAACTTAAAGTTACTTAAACGTAATGTTATAAAACATCTTTATATAGAAATTTCTGTTCGACTGAAATGTAAAATTGTTGACAAGTTCGAACATTTAGAAAGACTGGAGGAGGAGTTAATTCTTATTAAGCAAGAGATGAGTAATTATTTGCGATATTACAAAGATATCGTTATTCCAAAGTTGAAAGCGGAAGTAAAAGACATGGAACAAAGTCTAAACTCAGGTATGTATAATGAAAGTCACGTATGTACTGTAAAAGAGTCCATGTGCTCATTTTAAACAAATCATTGTAAGACATAAGCTTTTTAGATTTTTTGAGCTTCTCAAATTTTCAACACGTTTTGTAGAAAGAGTTTCAGTGAAAGACACTAGGGAATGTTTGTCAAATGAAAGAGTTGAATCTGAGGTATATACATATAATCTTCCGTTAAGCACCACGAATATGTATGGAGAAAATAAACAATAAGTCGTGCGCAACAAACATAATGAAGGAACCTTAGCGTACATAAAATGTTTTGTGGAAGAAACCAAATGCCATGTAATCTATTATTTTTTAGAAATCCTTGTATGCTTCTTCGTCTCATAAATCAAGACGTGTTATTTTGGGTGAGATAGCTTTGCGATACAAGGGTATAAACTTTGCAAAGCAACAGCTAGACCTTGGATCCAAGCACTTCTCCTGTATTAACAGTCGCGATGTTTTGGATACTTTAGTTAGCAATGAGAGTGATATTGAAAGCTACAGCGACAATGAAGACGATGATCTTTTTGATGACAATGGTTCTGATGATAAGATCGATGATTGCTAATGTTGCTAGTGATAAATGACTTGTTATTAAACTTGTATTTGTACTGTATGATAACAGAATCCAGCTACAATGAGTGGGTGCAACCATGAAACCCCTGCCTTAGAGCAGCTAATACGGGTCATAATTATCATTCCCGGGGGACTGGAAGCATTGTTATCCATTACTGATATGATCTGTTGCAAAAAACGGGGAAAACGCCATAAATTATCATTTGTAATATTAAAAAGTGAAACGTGCATTTTGAAAAGTCCTTAAATATTCTTATTATGATTTTTTCTTTTATCTCAACATTGCGCGAGGTTACACGTTTGTTTTGGTCTAGTGTTATCTTTTATTGTTGATTTTTTTTTCTATTCTTGATTGTATTAATGGTGTAAAAATGCAATTACCACGTATTATTCTATAGTTAGCACTAAACGGTAGTACACTTCACATACACTTACACAATATACACACTTATATACACTTACACACTTACACACTTACTACATATCACTACCACACTTACACATTACATACACTATACACTACACACTTTCATACTATACACTATACACTATACACACTTACACATACCTATACACACTATCCTTACTATACACACACTATACCACACTATACACACTCACACTTACCATATACACACTTCACTTATACACACTATCACTCACTATACACACTATACACACTATACACATACACACATACATACACACACACACTATACACATTATACAGGCGTAGCACTTTTTTCTATCCACTGTATAGACAACTGTTAAAGTAGGTAAACCATTGTAACTCAAAGGAAATCATGGTTTAGTAATAGAGTGCCTATCGATAAGAAAAATATTTTTTGCTATGTACTGGTGATGGTGTATGCAACAATAAAGAGAATAATAACTTTAATGCCTTTAACAACGTTAATCAGTACACGGTCTTTCTTACCAAGAATAAATTGTCACATTTGTTACGTTAGAGAAGTTAAACGATTTGAGAGTGAATATAAAGCCATAACTAATTACGTATGTTGTGACATTTGACCATTCCCGTAACGACATTTGTTAAACAATTTACAATCAACTGCAGTAAAATTAAATATTTGGTTGTTCGTCACCAGAAATATTTCCCAAAATAATTTTTTAAAAATCTGTTAACTCATATCAAAAATTCATATGACTCATATTTTTTACCTTGTTAAACCGCGGGATGATGATGAATTATAATCAAAACGTGTTATAAGACTAAAATCAAAACGTATATGACTAAAAACAATCAAGGGAAAATAAAATTAATCCATTACCAAAATTCAATTGCATGGCAATCAATATAAAAAAAAACTATCTGGAAGATATATTTACATTATTTTACATACACTAACTATCAATTTATTTCGGGAAGTTATTATTCAATGCCAACAACAATTCAAGCGGCCATATGTAAAACGCCCCTTTTTCGACAAAATCTCCATCAAACTCTGTTGGACAAACTGGCTTGAGTTTACAGTTTGGCATGACGTAATCAATGACTATGCCAACATGACTTTTTGGTACAGGGCGGTTGTGCAAAGTTTTCATAGAAAATAATGTGCATAAAGCTTGAGGTATCTTGTCTTCATTAAAAACCACTAACTTTGAGCCTTCGCCTGATAAAAATATAAAATACATTTTTAGATAATGTATGTCTTGTTATAAAATTGTAGAGAGACAATATACAATAAGACTTAGGATATCTTTTCTTTTAGGGTAACATACATAGCTATTAATAAAATAAAAGCATTTAGCAAATACACAAACTTTAAATGTTTGCAGTTTGCTGTTGATTCGTTTAATAGTGGTGTGATTCCTATTTCTGTAACAAAATAATTTGTTTTTTTTTCTGAACACCTAAAATGTCGATGTTAGCTATAAGACGCTATACATTTTTTGTACTTTTGTATGACGAACTAAAATTTGTTATTGCAACAGTAAGTACATTGGTACAAATAAATACTACAGACTGAAGATAAAGAAACACTTAATACCTATTTTAACTTTCTTCTGATAAATACTTTGAGTGGACGTTAAAATTTTCGGGCTCTTCGAAACTGGTTCTTCATCTTCATCAGGTTCGTCGTAGCTACAAAACTTTCGAAAATACTGTTGTTCTTCGTTAGTATTGTTACCATTACTCTCGATAGTCTCAGCAATGTCATTAACATCAGTGCATCCGATTGTAATAATTGTGTTTTCGTTTGTATCATTAGCGTTTTTCTTCGTTTGGTTAAAAATTTCGTTGACGTTGTTCGGCTTTTCATTGATGTTGCAAGCGTTTTTGACGACGCTGTTTGGGTTTTCTTTGCCGTTGTAAACAGGGTTTTTGCTAGCGTTTTTGGAGTTTTGGCTGTTGTCGTTATGGTGTACGTTTGCCTTGTGTGGGTTTTCGTTGGGATTGTTCGGGTTTTGTTGGTGTTGTAGGGATTTCACAGTTGTTGTCAGCTAAGGTTGAAGAACTTGACTGGGAAAATTCGTCCAATGTGTTAGCGTGTGTTTGACCAACACTTTTATGGCTCATTTCTTCCACTTCCATCTCCTCTAGAAATATAATGTAATGAGCATACTGAAAACTGTAAGTCTGTAACCAATACCATGAACAATAAAAGTTGAAATAGATGTTCTGCTTCAAAGACAAAAAGGATATAAATCATATAATTTATATCGCTATGAAATGTAAGCATCAGCAAAATGCTGGCTCTTACGTATTTGTTATTGTTTTTGTATTTGCATGCTTTTATATTGTTGGTTGAAACTGAAAGTGTAGTTAATTCAGAATACATCGAACGACAAACATGGATTTTGATTATTAAGTTAAAGCTAGTCTTTCAAACTAGTAGCTGTAGAATACAGTAGGATCATTTCTTATTGTATCAGCAAGACTACGAGAGAATTAGTTGCTTAAGTGGATCTTTTTCATGGAAATGGAATACGAACAATGGCAAAGCCAGATCACAAAGTCAGGTCGTCTTATGCACATGAAAATTTTACGAAAATGATTGACATTGCAAGTATTACGATTTAAGCCCTATTCACACGATATAAACTAAACTGAGTTCGGTCGATTTGATCCAACCCATCTCAGAGGTGGAAAAAGTCTTGCTATGCAAATATTTTCGCGTTCATGATGGCAGTCAACAATCATTTTCGAAAGAAATGAACAATGATAATGTAAAATTTGCATAGCATGAACAAATTTTCCTGCTGGCTTCCCCACTCGCAATATATAGATAGAAGACGTTCCTTATTATCATTAACTCCTAATTTGATTTTTATTTTTATTCAATGAAAGCAAAAAACGTTTGTTCATATAGTTTCTGTGGTGGAATGGTTATCGCATGTGTTTAACATTCGAAGGACATCAGCTTAATCCTGATAAGAAACAATATTTGCAAAATTTCATCCATAATTACACATTCTAACTAGTACATGTTTTTTCATTTGCATACAAAACTATCACATGAGTAATACCAATACAGTTAAAAACAAACTAGGAATTTCATTTAATTAATAATACAATGTTCACCATTCGACCTTAATTTATATTTGTTCTAATCAATGGAAACGTGAAAGTGTTTGTGTATGTACTGTACTGGTAATCACGTGTGTCTTAATATGCAAAAGGTCCTGAAATAGAACTTATCAAATGTTATAATTTTAATGCCTGATCACTATGCTAAGCCTGTGTATGCGTAATATATTGTCAGGTAAGTCTAAGGGTTGGATTAGAATATATTCAATAACAGATTAATAGAACCACCAGATCATGGATTTTCATAAATGAATGTTGCATAAATGAACACACGTTCGCTTTCGCCCTTAGATGGAGTTCATCCAATTTTATAAACTTACGTCGCATGAAATTGTCAAAAAGCTTTTCTGTTATTTTTCCATACTCTGTCTCAGTAAGAAACTTGGCAGCTGGTCCAGGAGTGCCGTGTAAGTGAGTGGTATAGCCTTTTGCATGTCTTGAGAACGACAAAACAATAATGTGTTGGTCATGATGTTCATTTAAGACAGAAGCCTAAAATAAATAAAGATTACAAATAAACTTTCTTAGTTTGCTTATAGTAACAAAAGCCGTAAGCAATCATCGGTGGCAAAATCCTTAGAAAATGTGATTTTCAATTATGTTAAAGCAAATTCGTTCCCAACATGAACGACTGGAAATAATTGAGTAAAAATAGTTTGTAAAAGCTCTGCTGAAAGTCATGGTCTTTTTCTGCTGCTAAAGTTTCCTAAGACAATGCAAAACAACAGGAGGAAAATAACACCACCACATCTGCTCGGCCTGCACACATCAGTTGAAAAAATGCTACACATTCACTTATACAGCAATGCATACACACATACAAACATTATTGTACATACAGTAAATACCTATAGATACATATATTGTACACAGACAGATGAATATTTAAAGTTTGATACATACAGGGAAGCAAATTAGTAGCATGTAAATATTTAGCATACATTGATCACACTTCCAAAATTATTCCCATTTGCAAATATTGGGTTGGTCTGTATTGTATAGAAGTATCTTGAGAATTGATACTAACTCTGTACATCATTAGTTCCCTTTGGCGAGAAGGATTTGTCACACACATTTTCCTAATTCTTTCCATGGAATTTACACGTTTCGAAATGAATTCCTTCGGACAACTTTTACACTTCTTTGAAGCATTTCCATTTTCTGTTCCACAACCATTACATTGCTATAAAAAAGTATAACAAAACATATGCTTCAACCCATTAAGACAAAACTTGCAGCAATACAAAATTCACCATTCACAAAATACAACAGGCACAAATTGCAAAATTTACAAAATTCAAAATTTACAAAATACCAAATTCACAAAATTCACAGCAATACACCATTCATAGCAACTACATTTTTCAATAGTACCACATGACTATGTATGAGTGATGAGGCCAAGAATTGAAGGGTACCTTTTCATCCTATTTTTATTGGTTGTACAGCCACAGGTCAGTTTTAGTTGTCAATTGTGAGGATCTAGTATATAGGGGTAATGGGTTAACCAGAAAATTTGACAATGTCTGCCCTCTGTAGTTAATCCTTTAACCAGCAATATGCTTTACTCATTTTTTGACAAACGCCACATGACTTTACTTGTCATTTGGTAGCTATGGAGCTAAATTAGGTTATTAGAAATAAGTGATAGTATAAAATTGAAAAATGTTGTCGTTTATTTAAAATGTTTGTTATACAATTGACAAATAAAATTGGCAATGAATAAAAATGGGCTTAATTAATTGATATAAAATAAGTGGTTTGTCTTGATGCACAAGAGTTGTCATTCAACTGATCTTTTATGCTACTATCAGAAAAAAACTTCTGTTGATATATAATATTGTATGTTCTTCAAAACATATGTCTACAGGTATATATGTAGCATGCTTTTGAAGGGTACAGTTAGTATCAAAAAATTAGGCAACCATTCAATACATATATAAATTTGCCTTAGTTGTCTTTCCTTGAAATCTTTTCTCTAAAAAATACAACATAAAATATAATGATGTACAAATAACCATGCTTTAAATTAGGCATAGGATGACAATAATCCACATTGGCTTCACTGCTGATCTTAAGATTAACCACATACTAGAACTATCACAGTGATCACTAACATTACAGTTATACATATAATATACATAAAGTCTGATGATGGTAATAATATGTTGTTCTATTTGAAAGAACATTTATACATGCAACTATAGAATAGATCCTTACGTACAATTCATAGTTTACTATGCAATGCTGGACAGCATACAGGAATATTTTTCCAATTTGCAAATGGAGTTTATCAAAGAAATTAGGTCATTATTGAAAAAGTCTATCAACGTATGAGGCACATGGGTAATAATAAAAAAATAATAAATCGTCCATTAACACTGCGGATAGCATTTCCAGTGCCGTAACTAGAAAATTAATTGGGTGAATATTCATATAATCAGCTCTGCCCTGCTGACTTCTATTGAAATTAAAATCGCAAACAAAAGAAATCAGCAGGGCAGAGCTGAATACATGAATATAAACACCCCCTAATTAACGTTCTAGTTTTGCCCCCGAGCATTTCTTTTTAATCAAATGTTTTTTTAATAACTTTTAGCAAAAAATACTTGTTAAATAAACGTTTTCTACATGATTAAATAAATCTAATACAAACTAAAAGCACTATCTTTAAAATATTGGCTTCACTCTGATCAGGATTCACGATCAAACATCAATCAAAATCAATGAAGAAAAATACAAGAATTTTAATTTTTTTAACGATATGATTATAAATACTACAAATTATGAGCAAACTAGCAAATAAATTGAAACGGTCAAATCCAGTAAGTCAAGCATTCAACATTTCACGATGTCACGCAACTCAAACAGTCAAACTGCAGCTCTCGATTTTGATTCGAGAATTCGTCTTGATTAAAACCATTTTTACAAGTAAAATTAAACTCCTTGTTAGAAAGGAAAGCATTGATACATGATCGAAATGAAAAATATGAAAGGCTTGTGAGACCTGATTCTAAAATGGATATTTCTATTTACATACCTGTGCTGCAGCTGCGGCCTGCCTTTTCCGCCATGTTAACTTTTCGCGGGTGCGCAAAACGTATTGAATTTGGATAGTTACGGAGTTTCCCTTGGATTGATGATTATTATCTATTTAAGCCGTTTTGTCAATTGATGCTATTCATCTATTTAAGCTTGAGACTGTGTTGCTAACTCGCACCGATTGTCCTTCTTTGAGTAGTTGAAGATTCTTTACGTGTTGGTCATGATATTTTTCAACAATTTCTGACTTTGACTGAATAAGTTTCATTGAATTTTTTTCAGTCCTAAGTGAAAGTAGTGGAGTTTGAAGATGGCGATTAATCATCATTAAGCCATGGGGATGGAGAGTTGTCTGTACCTAGAGATGAGAGTAAAGCAAATAGTATCAGACAAGGGTCATCACTGCTGTTAAGAGTTTTCTTAATTGTCTTCTTTACAGTTTGAATTGGTCTTTCAATGAATCCATTACTCTTTGTGTACAATGGACTTGACGTATTATTTTGAAAACCCCATTCTTTTGCAAATGTTTTGTATTGTTGTAAAAACAATTGAGGGCCATTATCACTAATTACTATTTTGGGAATACCAAATCGAGCAAAAATACTTTTAGTGTGTTTCACAACAGTTGATGCTAAGGTATTAAGAAGAGCACTCACTTCGAAGCATATTGATGTATAATTAGCAACAATGAGATAGTATTTGTTTTTTAGTTGAAATAAATAAGTTGTTACTTTCTCCCATTGGGTTAATGGTATTTCATGAAGAATTAACTCTTCCTATGGTTGATAACTTCCATGCAAGCACTGCAATTAGAGATTATGTCAACAATCTTACCGGTCGTACCTGGCAAAAAAGTGATGATCTGGCACGAGCTTTACATTTTTCTATTCCCAGACGGCCTTGGTGGATCTTTTTTCGCATTCATTTTGAAGGCTTTTTGGCACAATTATGTTGTTACCTTTGAGCAATACATTCTTATCCAATATAATTTCATCTCTAAAGTTATCGTATGGTGTTACCAATGGATCAATATCTTGTCTATCATTTGGCCATCCATTTAGAACATGGAACTTTAATTTCTTCAATGTGGGTCTTTTGATGTTTTAATAACAAACTCATTCAACTTTGTTTTCGAAACTGTTCCTCGATCATTAATCATGTGTACAAAACAATTTAGTTCAGATTCTGATATTTCTGGATTTGAATCATCTAAGAAAGCACGACTGAGAGTATCTGTTATAAGGGTATATTCTTTCCAGATGTAAACTTGAATATAAACATGTAGGGCTGAAGCTTTTTTAAAAACCTCTGAATTCGTGCCGGAGCTTTGATAAGAGGCTTAGAAAAAAATGCTTTTAAAGGCTGATGATCGTTTTCAACAACAAATTTCTGCCCATATAAATATTCTCTAAATTTTTCACATGAAAATACTTTAAGTCTCTTTTTCAATTTGTGCATAGTTCTGCTCTGATTCAATCAATGAACGATAAGCAAAAGCAACGGGTTTCCATTGTTCTTTATTCTTTTGTTCTAAGACAGCTCCTAGACCAAACTTTGACGAGTTTGATGTAGCTTTTATTTGATCTTTTGGATTAAAATATCTTAAGAATGGTGCTGATGTGACCATTTCTTTTAACCTTTTTACTGTATTTTCTTGTTCAGTTTTAAAATACCAAGGGCTATCTTTTTCTAACACAACGTAATGGTGCAGTTACACTTCCTAAATCTGGCATAAACATACTCAAGTAATTGCACATTCCAAGAAACCTCTGCAATTCAGTTTTATTTTGAGGTACAGGCATGTTCTTAACGGGAAAGATCTTTCTTGGATTAGCATAAACACCATCACTGGATAATACATGTCCAAGAAATGTTATTTGGGTGACGAAAATTGGCACTTTTTTCTATTCAATTTTAGACCAGATTCTTCAATTTTAGATAAAACCTCATGTAAACGTTGATCATGTACCTCTTTCGTGTGTCCCCAAACTATAATATCATCTTGAGCATTCACCGCTCAATTAATCCCTTCAATGATTTCAGTAATCTCCTTGTAAAGTTGAATTTATAGCGTCCAAACGGGGTAGTAAAGCATAAAAGCTATGAGCTCTCCTCATCTAATTTGATTTGCCAATAGCCTGATGATGCATCAAGTTTTTAGAAAAATTTTTCACCATTTATCTTTGAAATAATGTCCTCATGGTTGCAGATGAGGTCTTTTGATAGCTTTATTTAGATCTTTCGGATCAAGACAAATGCGAATACTTCCATCTGGCTTTTCAATAATCACTAGACTTGAAACCCAATCAGTTGGTTCAGTAACTTTGGATAAAACACCCAATTTCTACATTCTGTTAAGTTCTTTCTTGAGTTTAGGCTGAACATTTATAGGAACACAACGTTGAGAATGAACAACGGGTGTCACATTAGGATCAATTACAATCTTCCGGATTGTGCGTAGAGCTCCAATCTCTCCAAAACAACATTGAAATTCAGAAATGAAGCTGGCTATTTGGTCTTCTTCCTTTTGTTTCACTACTATTACACGATTGATATGGTTCAAGTTCTCGCAAGTAGAAAGTCTTAATAATAGAGTTGACGTTGTGTCTGCGACAATAAACGGAACAGGTACATCGCCCTTTTTCTTGTAGGTCCGTCGAGCAACGCATCTTCCAACAACGGGAATTATTGTTCCATTGTATGCAGTTAACTTTACTTTTGTGTTCTTTAATCTTGGCTTTTCTGTTAGCTTATTGTATTGGGACTTTGGTAAAACATTAACATGAGCACCAGTATCCAGCTTTCATCTAACATTGCTACCGTTTGTATCCATAACAACTGTCCATTCTGAATCATTTTCAGATTTCGAACCAATCACATAAATATCAGATTCGTTCAACTCATCTTCGCTATGAGTTTTTTTTTCGTGTCGTCATGGCAGTATCGGCATTAATGCTCCCAACAAAGAAACTTGCATCAGATTCTGCAAACTCATCAGAGTCTCTAGAGTGGCGATTGACATTTTTAATGGTCTTTCTTTTATCTGGGCAACACCTTGCAACACCTTCTTTTGTATACTGTCAATACAATCTTTGCCATCAGCTTCCTTTTGAAGTTCTTTCACATGTCTCTTCGTCTCTTCAGCAACATGGCCAATTTGTATAGTTTTCTGTAGTGTTAATTTTGCTTCTCTAAGAAGACGTTCACGTAGACGGTTGTCATTAATTCCACATATTATAACGTCACGGATGAGATCATCTCGAAGTGTTTCAAACTCGCATTCTGCATTACGCTTTTTCAATTTTGTGACGAACTCGTTAAACGATTGACCATCATTCTGCTTACATAAAAAGAATTTGTCGTGCATGAAAGTTGGACTGCAATATTCTTGAAACATTCAAACTACCAGAGCGAATTTCGTTTCGTCTCCTTCAGCAAACTGAAATGTGTTATATATTTCTCTGCCTTGCTTTCCAATACATGTGAGAAGTATTGGCAATTTATATATTATGAATAATCAAAACAGTGAGGATTCATGTTCTAAAGAACTTATGAATTTTTATCTTGGAAGGACATGACATGTGTTTCATAGATTTTACTATCAACCAACCAAAGACATAATATTGAGATATCATACCTTGTAAATGCAAAAGATACTGGATGGAACAAAAACCTCGAAAGCATATATGTGCACAGTAACTCCCATACAAGTTCATAAAATTATGGGACCATAACCTTAAAAGCACAGTATAAACTGTGTTATTAGCTATAAAAAAATATGATTTGTCAAATATTTTCTTTCGAATGAAGGAATAAATATATGGTTTTGATGATTGATACTTCTGTGAAAGGTAAAAGATTGAAAATTATTAACATAGATCTATCTTGCAGAATGTTTAGAAATATTTATTGACTAAATAACTTTAGACATCAGCAGTTAAGCTGGTTACTCTCAGAGCAAAATCATACAGTCTTGAAAAAAACATTCCTTTGACAGATCAGCATTCATCTGCCCTAAAGTGCCATTAGTGAGAAAGTACCCCACAGGAACTTTCAATAAAAAGTCGAGTGTAACAGCCATGTACACTAAAGCCTCTGTTGCTTCAGGCAACGAATCATCATCATTGACACCAGTTCCCATGTCAAAATATCCAAAAATTTTATTTCCATCAAACTCTATGTGCTTTTGAATGGCCATTTTATCCAACAACAAAGCAAAAACAATTTTTTGCCTTCCAGCTTTGCAGAATCTGCTTTTAACTTCATTGCAAGCAATGCATCACGTGTAAAACCTGGTTCATCATCAATGGGATTGTACCATGTGCGAACAAGATTGATTTTTACATACCGGTAAAATGAAATGTTCGTTCGTTTTGGTTGTTATGGCACACATGTACCCCACAGTATATGGGATTTTTCGAAAACAAAGATAAATGATCAAAACACTGCTTTAGTTTTTGTAAAAATATTTTTACAGAGCGGTCTCATGACTTACTACAAAGGAATGTGACATACAATGTACAAAGCCAGTTAGTAGAGAAGTAGCTGAATTTGAATCTGTAAGTTAATCGCCTAATTTCGATCGAAGTGCTATGCTTTTAATGCATATTTACAATACCTCACAACTAATTTACAGATTTGAAATGCATTTAAGGCAGATTCACAAGGTCTTATGCAAGTAATGTTAGTATGACATTGTTCTTGCCAAAATCTAACTAATAAAAAACTAAATGGAACATAATAAACAATTTCAGATAATGCAAAACTAAACTTTATAATGCGGAGAAAAATATTATGTAGTATTTACAGTTATCTAGGTAATCACAGCTTGTCCAACATGAACCAAAATGTGTCTTTTCCACAAATATATTTGGGAGTATATATTTCATATTTGTTTCTCTTAGATATGGTCTTTACCGCCAGTGACTGTTGATGCGTAATTTTTCGAAGTAGTTCTAATTTCATATGATGATACCAAGTTAATGCTCAAAGGATTCTTTCGTATGAATTTATTAATGGTTTCATACTATTG